CCTCACAACAACACAGACTTAAAACTAGACTCATAATGTTCTATAAAATTGTTCACCATATTGTCGCAGTACCATCAGAATTACTTGTACCAACAGACAATAGAACCCGACAAATTCATCCACAAACTTACAGACACCTAGTTACATCTAAAGACTGTTACAAATATTCATATTTTCCTTTTACAATTAGACAATGGAATTTACTACCTCCAAATGTAGTACTTTCCCCATCACTAAATATTTTTAGAGAACAGTTGACACCTACTGTTCTCTACAATATAGAACAGTAGACCTTAGAAGCTATGTAAGGCCAAAAAAAAATGTATGTCTGTTTACGGTTACCCGACTGACCCTATTTTTGAGCGCCTACCCTGAGTTATTTTATTTCCGTCGTAAAGTGAAAAATAAACTGAACTCGTGTCAAAAGCGAAGTTAGTGTTGCAAATAATATAAATCAATTGCCTGATACATCCCAGTATTCACAATCGTGAGCTGTTTTAAGGAAATTCGCGACTCGTGTGAAGAAATAAACACTTTGCCGCCATTTTTTTCCAACCAATTACCAAGGGAAATAATCCAATCATTAAAAATACGGGTAAACTCGGCCCATGATCAACTCGGACCACGACAAGACGAAACCGCATGACTCAAAATCATGTCACAAAAAATAAAATGAAAAAATAGAAAAAAATGGAAATACCGACCTACCTACCCTATTTTTTAAAAGTATGTAACCTTAAACAGACATATATTTTTTTTTGGCCTAAATAGTTATAACCACATGTCATGTTAGTATTTATTTCTGGCACTATTCTTTTGTAAATATTTATTTATAATTATCCTACGCATGCACAGCAGTTAGTAATCATAAAATATCTGATGGATAACTGGATACCATAAGAAGATGTATTTTTTTCTTCCAAAAATAATATTCTTAAATAATACTCATGTCTCAACCAAAACTGACTATACTAAACATAAAAATCTACAAATACTGTTGATTCAAATTAAATTTTTCTATAATTCCATACATTCGTCTCAGCATGGTAAACTTGATGCACACAATTATAGCAGTAATTGATTACGTTTCACTTGAAAGTTTTTCTGTCAAAGGTAGATATAAAAAAAGATGTGGTATGATTGCCAATGAGACGACCCTTCACAAGAGACCAAATGACACAGAAATTTAACAACTATAGGTCACCGTACAGTCTTCAACAATGAGCAAAGCCCATACCGCATAGTTAGCTATAAAAGGCATATCCTTCCTATAAAAAAAACTGGCCACCATGTATGATGACTTTAGTCAAGTGTGCTTAAAGTAGGGTTTAACACCAACATCAATCAGTTAATCATGAATTGTTATAGTTGTTCACAGTTACTTGTTTTCTTCATTATAAACATATATTGAAAAATGCTAAATATATCCAATGTAGATTTGTCTCAGGTCTTTTGAGCACTTTTTAAATTTTAACCCGTTCATTTTCTGTATGTGCTTGACCCAAATCAAGAACCACTAATTTGCTGCTGTTAATCATATTTGTTTTTCATCTAAAAAATTTACACAAAAGTACGAGGGTAAGAATGCCCTTTTTCGTCAGGTGTCAAACAGTCATTTTCTGAGATGTTTCATGAAAAATACGATTGATAGCAACGAATTACTGGTTCCGTACTCTGGGTCGTAATGTGGTTACCTTCATGAAGAATAACAGTAAAAAGCTGGACTATTTATTTGTTAAAACCAGATTTTGATCACTTAAAACTTTGAAACTTAAGGCAATAAAGGTTATCATTGGGGACATTCCTACAATGACTGCCCATGAAAACTACGTACTTTCGATATGGATTCTGTCAACTGACATTAGTTCGTACATTGATATTTCTGTGAACTGACGGTGCATCGTTTGAAGTGTAAAGCACCAGCAGATTTACGTGTGTGCTTGACTCTTCAATATCGAAATAACATGCTGAAATAATATAACTTTTGTTTTAAAAAACCCATGTTTTCTCAAACCAGAATATGACTTGATTGCCTTAAAGATCTAAACACAGACGGAACAACTAAATCCGTGTATTTTTGTCGTTGAGTTGAAGTCGTAATCTCATCGAAGATACTCGAAATTAACATAAAATGCTTTGTTAAATTAAGGAAAAATCTGTTTATCATTATTTTGAAACTTTCGGATTCACAGTTAAGGTGCACATGCAAAGATACGGCCCGGGCCCCCCCCTTTTTTGGGAAAAATTTGGTTGATTATATAGGGAATCACTGAAGCATGACTGCAGCGGGCCCCCTCTTAGGTAGTCAGTGGGCCCCACTTATGAAAATTTCTGGATCCGCCACTGATCTTTGATCTATTGGTAGTTGCTTTTTAATGACTATCTGCTAGACTATCCATGGGGACATACCAGGGGCAGATCCAGTCATTTTTAAAAGGGGTTCCAACCCAGGATAAAGGGGGGGTGGGGGTGGGGTTGGGGGGGGGGGGGGGGGGGGTTCTATCCAAATGTCCCATTTAAAAGCATTGATTGTCCAAACTAGAGGCTCTAAAGAGCCTGTGTCGCTCACCTTGGTCTATGTGCATATTAAACAAAGGACACAGATGGATTCATGACAAAATTGTGTTTGTAGATCTTACTTAACTGAACATTCTTGCTCCTTACTATTATCTCTATCTATAATGAACTTGGCCCAGTAGTTACAGTGGAAAATATTTTGTAAAAATTTACAAAAATTTATGAAAATTGTAAAAAATTGACTATAAAGGGCAATAACTCCTTAAGGGGTCAATTGACAATTTTGGTCATGTTGACTTATTTGTAGATCTTACTTTGCTGTACATTATTGCTGTTTACAGTTTACCTCTATCTATAATAATATTCAAGATAATAACCAAAAGCTGCAAAATTTTCTTAAAATTACCAATTCAAGGGCAGCAACCCAACAACGTGTTGCCTGATTGGTCTGAAAATTTCAGGGCAGATAGATCTTGACCTAATGAACAATTTTATCTAGTCAGATTTGCTATCAATGCTTTGGTTTCAGAGATATTAGCCAAAAACTGCATTTTACCCTATGTACTGTATTTAGCCATGTCGGCCATCTTGGTTCGCGGGCGGGGTCAGCGGACACATTTTTTAAACTAGATACCCTAATGATGATTGTGGACAAGTTTGGTTAAATTTGTCTTAGTAGTTTCAGAGGAGAAGATTTTTGTAAAAGATTACAAAAATTTACGAAAAATGGTTAAAAATTGACTATAAAGAGCAATAACTCCTTAAGGGGTCAACTGACCATTTTGGTCAAGTTGACTTATTTGTAGATCTTACTTTGCTGAACATTATTGCTGTTTACAGTTTACCTCTATCTATAATAATATTCAAGATAATAACCAAAAACGGCAAAATTTCCTTAAAATTACCAATTCAAGGGCAGCAACCCAACAACGGGTTGTCCGATTCATCTGAAAATTTCAGGGCAGATAGATCTTGACCTGATTAACAATTTTACCCCATGTCAGATTTGCTCTAAATGCTTTGGTATCAGAGATATAAGCCAAAATCTACATTTTACCCCTATGTTCTATTTTTAGCCATGGCGGCCATCTTGGTTGGTTGGCCAGGTCACCGGAAACATTTTTTAAACTAGATACCCCAATGATGATTGTGGCCAAGTTTGGTCAAATTTGGCCCAGTAGTTTCAGAGGAGAAGATTTTTGTAAAAGTTTACGGACGACGGACGCAAAGTGATGAGAAAAGCTCACTTGACCTTTCAGGTCAGGTGAGCTAAAAAGGGGTTTTCCAACCCCCAACCCCTGGATCCACCACTGCATACTATCCATATGCTTCAAATTTATTATAGCTTTAGTTTTACTGTGAAATTGAAAAATGTTTTGTTTTCAAGACATGTAAATAAAAGCTTCCACTGCAATTTAATTATTGCCTGCTTTTGGTCAATTTGTTTTGTCATCTTACCATATAAAGTACATGATGTTAAAACACCGCTTTATATCAATAAACATACTTACATATGTACACCAGCAACTACCATCTTTTCATTCTGGAGTCAAGGGCCTTTTAAAATCACATAATTTACAATGATACTAGTGAGTAGATTTACAAAAACTTTGTCAATGAGCTCCGTTTTACAACACCTGTGATACAAGTAGTCAGCCAAAATAAAGTATCAATAGAGCAATTAAAACATTACTCCAGTTGTTAATATGTGCTAAATTGGATAGTATATACCTTTTCATAGACTAATTATAACATAGACAAAGAGTGGAAACAAACATTAACATGATCTGTAACTCATAATAAACTCACATACTAAAAATCAGCAGAGTGGAAACAAACATTAACATGATCTGTAACTCATAATAAACTCACATACTAAAATTCAGCAGAGAGGAAACAAACATTTACACGATCTGTAACTCACCATAGTAGAACTGAAAATCAGCTCATTATGTGAAGGCATTTAAAAAACAAAAAAAGAGTCTGATTAACAGCTATTTTCATGAAATATTCAAAGTCCAAAGCACATAATTTCTGCACAAATCAGTGGTGCAGAATTTAATGTAAATTCTGTAACTCTTCACTGTAGACTCACATACTAAACATCAGCTAAATATGTGAAGGCGTTTGGAAACTAGAGGTTTTAAAGAGCCTGTGTCGCTCATCTAGGTCTAAATGCATAATCAACAATGGACTCTATAAAACATTGTAGACAAGAATAAAATTCATGACAAAAAAATTGATCTTGTATAGCTGATCATTTTGTCTGTTTAGTTTCCCTCTGTCTTCTTCAGTTTTTGCTCAAAACACAAAAGAGGGTTGAAAAATCCTCATTTCAGAGCAATCATTCCTATGAAAAGTGACAGTCGACTCACTATATCGACAAAATTTGACTTGTTTGTGGACCTTGCCTGGCTGATTATTTTTGTTATTCATTATAGTCTCTATTTATCTATTATAATTTAATTAATCATATAAGGCAAATACAAACAAGAGTGCACACGCTGAAATGTCTCGCCTTCTTTACTAATCATTGATATTATGTTGATAGTCTTAAATATCAAGCTTTATTACAACTGTCACATAAACTTAACATTAACCAAGTAAACTAAACATTGACCAATGAACCATGAAAATGAGGTCAAGGTCAGATGAACCATGCTAGGCAGGCATGTACAGCTAACAATTCTTCCATACAACAAATATAGTTGACCTATTGCTTATAGTTTAAGAAAAACAGACCAAAACACAAAAACTTAACACTGAGCAATGAACCTTGAAAATGAGGTCAAGGTCAAATAAAACCTGCATGACTGACATATAGATCATAAAATATTTCCATACACCAAATATAGTTAAACTATTGCATACAGTATTAGAAAAAAAGACCAAAACTCAAAAACTTAACTTTGACCACTGAACCATGAAAATGAGGTCAAGGTCAGATGACACCTGCCAGCTAGACATGTACACCTTACAATCATTCCATACACCAAATATAGTAGACCTATTGCATACAGTATAAGAAAAACAGACCAAAATACTAAAACTTAACTATAACCACTGAACCATGAAAATGAGGTCAAGGTCAGATGACACCTGCCAGCTAGACATGTACACCTTACAATCATTCCATACACCAAATATAGTAGACCTATTGCATACAGTATAAGAAAAACAGACCAAAACATAAAAACTTAACTATAACCACTGAACCATGAAAATGAGGTCAAGGTCAGATGACACCTGCCAGTTGGACATGTACTCCTTACAGTCCTTCCATACACCGAATATACTAGACCTATTGCTTATAGTATCTGAGATATGGACTTGACCACCAAAACTTAACCTTGTTCACTGATCCGTGAAATGAGGTCGAGGTCAAGTAAAAACTGTCTGACGGGCATGAGGACCTTGCAAGGTACGCACATACCAAATATAGTTATCCTATTACTCGTAATAAGAGAGAATTTAACATTACAAAAAATCTTAACTTTTTTTCAAGTAGTCACTGAACCATGAAAATGAGGTCAAGGACATTGGACATGTGACTGACGGAAACTTCGTAACATGAGGCATCCATATACAAAGTATGAAGCATCCAGATCTTCCACCTTCTAAAATATAAAGCTTTTAAGAAGTTAGCTAAAGCCGCCGCTGTAGCCGCCGCCGCCGGATCACTATCCCTATGTCGAGCTTTCTACGACAAAAGTGGCAGGCTCGACAAAAAACTGAGAAAAAAAATTGTCATTAAAAGGCAATAACTCCAATAAGGAAATGTCAGAAAAATTCCTCATATTGTATTAAATGAAGATCTTGTCTTTCCGATCACCTTTGCTTATTTTTCCGATCACCTTTGCTTATTTAAGTTTCTATCTATTTATTATAATGTTAAAGATATACAGCAAAATTGCAAAAAAAATAGTCAAAATTGTCATCAAAGGAAATGATAAAAAAATATTCATTAAAGGGCAATAACTTCTGTAAGAATTCACCTGACAGTTTTGACATGGAACAATTGGTAGAGCTCAATATTCTGAACATTTTTGGCCCCCTCCCCCACGTCAAAATTCCTCTATTTTGGCCAGGTAAGCTAAAAAGACTGTATAACCATCATCATTGTAGACTCACATACTTAACATCAGCTAATTATGTGAAGGCATTTAGAAAAAAAAAGACTATCACCATTGTTTTCATGAATTTTTTAACTTAAGATTCAATTTTTCTAAAACAGAAAATGTATTCGAATTTCAATTATCTAGTCCATGCTTTGTCAAAACTTGTCCAGATACACAGCTTTGACAGTAGTCAAAAGTAAATGTTTAGGTCAAAACAATAGCCATTTATTATACTTAAAATTCTAAGCCAAAGGGTACATTTTTTGCTTTACATCCAGTGGCAAATATTTCATGCATATTCAGGACAAGACCAAATTTACAACAAATACAAAAAGTAAGTCCTGTAAATTATCTCTGGATGTTCGGAAAGGCCAAATAAAATAGTATGTGTGGTTCCATTTACATCTAAAAATAAGTAAGGGTAGGTTCATGTAGGTAGGGATTTTTTTTTATTTTATGTTGTTTTTTTTTTTTACCTCAGGCCTATGGGAGCAACATTCTGACTTTCACGGTGCTTAATGAAAAACAAGAGTGCACAGGCTGAAATGTCTGGCCTTCTTTACTAATCACTGATTTGATAGTCCTAATTATAAAGCTTTACTACAAGTATCACGATCCAAGTAAATGAGGTCAAGGTCAGATAAACCAAACGAGAAATACATGTACACCTAATAATCATTCAATACACTAAATATAGTTGACCTATTGCTTATAGTATCTCTAAGAAACAAACTTAACCATGAAAACTTAACATTGACCAATGAACCACCAAAATGAGGTCAAGGTCAGATGATACCTGCCAGACAGACATATACAGCTTACAATTCTTCTATACAACAAATATAGTTGACCAATTGCTAATAGTTTAAGAAAAACAGACCAAAACACAAAAACTTAACACTTTAATAGCAATGAACCATGAAAATGAGGTTAAGGTCAAATAAAACCTGCAAGACTGATATCTACATCATAAAATATTTCCATACACCAAATATAGTTGACCTATTGCATATAATATTAGAAAAAAAGACCAAAACTCAAAAACTTAACTTTGACCACTGAACCATGAAAATGAGGTCAAGGTCAGATGACACCTGCCAGTTGGACATGTACACTTTACAATCATTCCATACACCAAATATAGTAGACCTATTGATTATAGTATATAATACATGACTTGACCATGAAAACTTAACCTTGTCCACTGATCCATGAAATCAGGTCGAGGTCAAATGAAAACTGTCCGACGGACATGAGGACCTTGCAAGGTACGCACATACTAAATATAGTTATCTTATTACTCATAATAAGAAAGAAATTAACATTACAAAAACTCAGAACTTTTTTTAAGTAGTCACTGAACCATGAAAATGAGGTCAAGGACAATGGACATATGACAGACGGAAACTTTGTAACATAAGGCATCTATATACAAAGTATGAAGCATACACCTTATCGCTATTTGTCCGCATTACTGGACATCACAAAAGTTCCTGTAAAATTTTGACGTCATAATAGAAAATATCTGACGCCACAATGGAAAAGTGATTGTTGTATGATGTCAAAAGTTCAAGCGGGACAGATTCTCGATAAGGTGTATTCAGGTCTTCCACCTTCTAAAATAAAGCTTTTATGATGTTAGCTAACACCGCCGCCAGATCACTATCCCTATGTCGAGCTTTCTGCGACAGAAGTCGCAGACTAGACAACAAAAAATATTTAGGGTAGGCTATTATTGAGACAAAAAGATAGGGCAGATAGGGTAACTGGAACCACACATATTTTTATTTGGCCTAAGGGAAATTAGATTCCCACTGGAAAATGAGTCTTATGGCTAGTTATAGTTATAGATGCATGTTGAATGATGAAATCTTCTATTCTTATCTTTATTCACAAATGTATTTTTCATAAAGTGATTACAAGAAGTTTTCGATAGTCACCAAACTAAACTTGACATTCCGATACTGTGCAACATTTAAAACTTAATTGATATTCACACTGCGAACATAACTAAACCATATGTTATTTATAAAGAAAGAATAAAACCTACCTTATTGATGAAATTTTCAAAAAAAATGTAAAATGTGTGAACAGCGGTTCAGTGTAACGTGTTAGCTAGAACATCAAAATGGATTCACCAGCAAGAGTTGAAAAATTAGAACAATAGAAAATCCCGCCAATAGTAGCCAATAAAAAACAGAATGCACGTGGTGCAATGAACCGTAAAGGAAGGGGGTTAACCTTAATTTAATTAATTTAGTTAATGGCAAAAAAAAAGTCCGTCTCTGTCCTTGTAAAGGCTACTTTTTACAGTAAAACAAAAATTATCAAAAACACGAGATTAATATTGGAGAAGACTCCAGTGCTTCGAAATATCATAAATTTAAACCAGCTTTTGTTTACTAGAAAAGACTGAGTTTTTTTTCCTTTCATTACCACTTTTTATTAGTTTTCGGTTAATTTTATTTGGGCTTCTGTCGGATTTACCGAGTAAATTGTGACCGTAAGTTATAATGAATCGAATTAAGCATGTATTTAGTTGCTCCATCCTGGGAATACTTCAAATAACCTATTATGAGCCAAGTGCAACTTCTGATAAAAAAAAATAGTTGAACTTTTTATAAGGCAAGGAGAAAGAATATATTTTGTCCGCAGCAACACCAAAAATATTACCAGAAAGAAGTTTCATAAAGATAAAACAGTTAGAGTGGGTGGCGCATATTCGCCTTGGACACATTTTCGCCGTTTTGCTATTTTTTCTGTAAAATTTGTGTGCCTTTACCCAATACTTGCCTAAATAGATGATAAAGGCTGTTTGTAATGTTACAACTGTTGATATTCTTCTTTACCCCATTTCCAAGGTTATTCGCACATATTGAGAAATACGCAGGTGTTTTCAAAATTATTTTGGCAATTATGTAAGATTTATATGGCAATCATGCGCAGTCTTAAAGTAAATATTTGTGAGAAAAATCGTATAGGAATGATCTCTCAAGCTAATTCATGTAATTGCAAACATTCGTTTTTATAATATACTAGGATAATGAGGATGGTCATATCATACATTTCGGCGAAAATGTGTCCCCCATGGTACACGAACTTGTAACCGTTTGATTTCCTCTTAAGTTTGCGTTCGTTTTTAGAACAATTAACCAATGTTTTCAAGATAATTTCTTTATCAAACATTTTTTTCATCTAGTTAAATTTCGGAAACCTTCATAAAAAGTTCCAAATATTCGAATGTAGGTCGGATGTAAATGGAAATGAACGAATTATGCGGCGAATATGGGTCTCTCACTCTATAGCGTTTGTTGAACTTTTATATTTCATCACAGGGTTGTCACAAAAGAAACAAATACTTAGTGTTCAAGTGTAAGAGATAAATTAGTCCTAATAAATGTGTCTGGGCGGACAAATATTACCATTATAAAATGTTCATAGGGTGATAGAGCAGATTGGTACCCCGAGAAAACATTGTCAACCGCGGCGAAGCCAAGGTTGACCGTTGAATGCTTTTTCGAGGGGTACCAAATTGCTCTATCACCCTCTCAGCTATATGTTATTTAATTTATTATACTGAATGTCCTATCATTATTGTCTTTACAGATGAATTTTATTCAAAAGTATTTTCTATGACGTCACGTACATAACAACGTTACGGGTATTAGAAAAATCAACAGAAGTGGAGCAAGATATTTTATTTTTTTATTTTGACAGTCAAATAATAGAATGTGAGCCAAAGCGTAGAACTTAAGCATCGTCTGTAATAACTTGATGTAAATTCAATTCATTGTCCTTTAAATTATCGATTTTTGATTGGTCTGGACGAGAGGGTGACATTCAAAAAAATTGTCACCCGCTCAGCCATGTGATAGAGTGAATTAACACCCTCGTATTAGCCAATAAAAATATGGCATTTTGACGTGAAGTATAATAATATATTAAGTCGTGAGTCCGATGTCAGTAATGTATGTCCCCAGACAAATTTTCATAAGAATTCATGTTCAGGTCATCAATATTTCAAGGTAAAAACGTCCATGTCCGTTATTTTACTCAGAAAATGTGAAATTAAAGAAATCATTTACATGTTAACAATGGATTTTTATTTTTAATTCTTATGTTTTTATGTTCTGTAACAGTTGTGAATTAATCTTTTAATCAGTCAGGATTCGACTCCGTCAAAAATATCTCCCAATTACGCCAGCCAATTTGTACAATCGTAAAAATGGAAGCTATTATAGGGATGACGCGCTGCCAATTTAGTTCTTGAAAACCGACAAATTTATCCACATAGTGACATAACGACCATGCATCATTTAATGTACTTCTGCATTTCGTCAACTTAATAATTATTGTCTAATCTGTTGTCAGGTGTAATTTTCGAAAGTTCAAAAACATTTTAAAAATTCTAATTAAATATTTCGTGGAAGGGCAGACTAAATATTTTCAAAGGTTGAAGACAAATAACCCAAGATAACTCGCACATAAAATAAAGTTTTTTTTGAAATCATGCATTTCAAAGACCCACTTGAAAAGTCTGTCGTCAAGTACTTTTAGTAAAAATTTGTTATTCGAACACACTCTGCTTTTATGACTCATCGGAAAGGTATTTCACTTGACCCACATATTTCATTTTTTAGTACTGTGATTTTTTAATGATATTTAATCAACCTGTATCCTAAAATATAAAACTAATAGAATATGATGCGAGATCATGTATCAAATATATTTGCTTTGTAAGTTTTCAAGACAGAATGGTAAACTCAAACACGCCTGAACATAGAAAGGTGCACTCGACTCTCTCTTTTTTGATGAAATTTTTGCTGCTTTTTAGGATTTTTTTTCAAAAAAAAAAACTGTCGCCGGGGGCAGAAGTGCAAATAAAGGATGTATTCTTCGGCTGTTTCAGTCACGTTGAAATCTCTTTCGGGATTTCTTTTCCAAAACATGTGATACAAGTGGAAAATATCAATGAATTTTAAAAAATATTACAATCAAACTGAACTATGTGAAAAAATTGTGTACTAACAATAAGTAGTTTTTTAGATATATATATTTTTAATTTTAATAAGCAATCCGGTCAGTGTAATCATCCAAAATGTTGAGAAAATTGATGAATTGTACAAAGAAGTGATTTTACCAAAAATATGTACATCCCATGTCATTTTTTTCTTTTCAATTTCTTAGATATGTATTTTTCAATCATTCATTGCAAAGAAGTTAATATAATATGCTTTTTGGTAAAAAAAAATCCTAAAATTTAAAATTTTTAAGCATGTTCAATTTGACACGAAAAAGCAACAACATTTTATAAACTTTCTCATATTAACACGATCTATAATTCGTTTTTTAAAGCTAGATTATTCAGATTGGTCCACTTCGTCTTTTATAGTCAAAGAATGAACAAGAGTTTAATTTTATAACTTTGATTTTTTTCATGATAATGTCCCAAAAATGGTTAAAAATTGATGACAAATGTCGAAATCATAAAAATGGGGTAATTCAAATGGCCGAAGCAAAATAAGAAGTGCACCACCATATGATCTTTTCCTTCATCAATTACTTTTTTACAGTAACAAAAATAAAAAAAATCAGGTAAAGAAAAAAGTTTAATTCTAGAAATGTTTGGCTCCTCAGACTGAGGTGTCCATCCTTATTACTTTAAAAAGATCAATTTATTCTCTTTCTGTGGATTTTTTTTCGGCGGAATTTCTGCTTATGCACATTCGACTGTTTTAAGAAAATGTGTCTATAATTTAAAAGTTTACAAATATCTCGAAGCTTCAAACTATAATTGAAGTAAAACACATCTATAAGATGCATAAAATTCATGTCCTTTAATTTTATAGGAAAATTTGTAATGAAAGAAATAATTTGTTTTTTAATTGTTATATGTTTTAAAATTGGTAACAGACAATAATATTTCACTATATATAAAAAAAAATATGGGTGTTCGTTTTTTTATATAGTTAAACATATTTTACTAGGAGTGGGCTTATTTCCAAAAAGGGGGGTTCCTACATACTAGTATGCAATCTGTATTTTTGAAGGTTAAGCGCGTCCAGTTGTCGGGTTTCTAATCCAAACACACCTATCCCTCAGTATGTTCGCATATGAATGTTTATAATTAATGTTGAGAAAAAAGGGGGGGGGGGGTTTATAAAACTGTAACATGTAAAATACATTTATGATTACCTTCATTTAACTGATACATGTAAGTACTTTGGGTTATTAATATTGCGTTATCCTCAGTCTCTTCTGCCAAATCAAAGGCCTGACTCATAATGTCGTCCGTCTAATACCCGTCCATATTGACAACTGCATACGAGAATGCACGATACGGCCAAATTGACTTGCTGATGATCCATATAAGCACATGGATTTAACGGGGATATGCAAAACGGCAACTTTGACATTTGTAAAATCTACTCACTTGTCAAAGTTTGAATGAAGATCGTCAGAATAAGGTTACTAGTGGGTTTTCATTTAAAAAAAAAAAAAAATTTTTCTTATTAATCATGGTTTGATATTGTCAATAAAAATGCTATCCGTTCTTTTTCATTTAATACTAGTATTCAATGTAAACAAATATAGGGTTTAGCATCGGGTGTAAGTTAGTTATACACTTCGGGATACGGCGTGTCTGGATAAGAAACACCTATCCCTCAGTGTATAACTATCACTGAAATGAAGATCGTTTTGTGACTGCTCTGTTTTATCTAAGATGCATCCATTAGAGCTATTTTCCTAATGCTTGTAGTTTAAAGGTTTGGTTGGCTTGCTTGCTTTTTTTTTGGTATAAATGTATGCGTAATCTTAATTACAATGCTTAAGCAACCAACCACACTTTTAAACTACAAGCATTAGGAAAATAGCTCTAATGACGTTTTTCGGTGACGTGGATTCGCTTAGCTGTCCAAGATATATCTATTCAATGATGGCGTGTCATAGGAAAGGATAAATTTAATCCTACATATAGATCTGGATCTGGATCTGGACAAATTATTAAAGAAAATAGAATTGACTATATCAGCAATAAATGCCCTTTTACGGAATTTATTGATATATTACCTCAGACTTTCACTCACTAAATATGCATATATAATAAATCCTTCTGACTTCATAAATTTTGTTAGAGAGTTGGCTGAATTAAGACTTTAAATAATGAAAATCAATTAATGTCCTTCTGTGAAAATGCATCGCATGTACAATAGAAATGAATCGCCCTAGAGTGAAAATGAAAGTCTAATATCATTATTCGACAGTAAACATGAATCGCATCACAAAAACAGCATAGTGGAATTTGATTCCGTATCAACAAGCTTAATAACAAAACCTGTTTTAAGTTATACAACATTGATAATTATGTTAAAAGGTATACATTTTTTGCAAATGAAGGGGCCTCGGTGGCCGAGTGTTCTAAGTAGTGACTACTGTAATCACTATCCAGTCAACACTGAGGTTGTGAGTTCGAACCCCGCTCGTGCGGGTGCACTCGACTCCAATCTTAATTGACTAGGATTGTCAGTTTTCCTATCGAAGGTCGGTGGTTTTCACCGGGCACTCCGGCTTCCTCCACTAATAAAAACTGGCCGCCATGAAATAGCCCAAAAGCGGTGCTTAAAAGTGGCGGTAAAACACCAAAAAAAAAAAAAAATCTGTAAATGAAACTTAACTGCTTCTTATAAATCTCGTGTGCGCTCTGTTCGTGAACTATTCCTAATATTTATCTATTTGTGTATCAATTTTACACCTGGATGGCTGTAGGCGCGATGAAAACCCGTCCGCATCTCATACCTATATCATGAATTTATAAAAACCAATACATATTATATATAATTTCTTATTTTTTTCAACAAGAGTGCACACGCTGAAATATCTCGCCTTCTTTACTAACCATTGATATTATGTTGATAGTCTTAAATATAAAGCTTTATTACAACTGTCACATAAACTTAACATTAACCAAGAAAACTCAACATTGACCAATGAACCATGAAAATGAGGTCAAGGTCAGATGAACCATGCCAGGCAGACATGTACAGTTAACAATTCTTCCATATAACAAATATAGTTGACCTATTGCTTATAGTTTAAGAAAAACAGACCAAAACACAAAAACTTAACACTGAGCAATGAACCGTGAAAATGAGGTCAAGGTCATATAAAACCTGCGTGACTGACATATAGATCATAAAATATTTCCATACACCAAATATAGTTGACCTATTGCATATAGTATTAGAAAAAAAGACCAAAACTAAAAAATTTAACATTGACCACTGAACCATGAAAACGAGGTCAAGGTCAGATGACACCTGCCAGCTAGACATGTACACTTTACAATCATTCCATACACCAAATATAGTAGACCTATTGCATACAGTATAAGAAAAACAGACCAAAACACAAAAACTTAACTATAACCACTGAACCATGAAAATGAGGTCAAGGTCAGATGACACCTGCCAGTTGGACATGTACACCTTACAGTCCTTCCATACACCGAATATACTAGACCTATTGCTTATAGTATCTGAGATATGGACTTGACCACCAAAACTTAACCTTGTTCACTGATCCATGAAATGAGGTCGAGGTCAAGTGAAAACTGTCTGACGGGCATGAGGACCTTGCAAGGTACGCACATACCAAATATAGTTATCCTACTACTTATAATAAGAGAGAATTTAACATTACAAAAAATGTTAACTTTTTTTTCAAGTAGTCACTGAACCATGAAAATGAGGTCAAGGACATTGGACATGTGACTGACGGAAACTTCGTAACATGAGGCATCCATATACAAAGTATGAAGCATCCAGATCTTCTAGCTTCTAAAATATAAAGCTTTTAAGAAGTTAGCTAACGCCGCCGGATCACTATCCCTATGTCGAGCTTTCTGCGACAAAAGTCGCAGGCTCGACAAAAATCATGAATTTGTCGTCTGTTTATTTATCATTCGTCATCAGAAATTCTTCACGGATACAGTAAACATGGCATTTCAGGATTCGCACATTACAGACAGTGGTCCTTGATGTTAATTGTTTACAGAAAGCCATAAACAACCTTTACAATCCAAAACTAAAGTCGAGTACACCCTATACTAGAAGGTGTAGATCAATAAGTCCATTTTTTTATGCCCGTTTACGAGAAGTATTATGGTTTACCGTTGTCTGTCAGTCCGTCCGTCGTCAACATGTCGGACATTAACTCGAAAATGCTTTAATCAATTTGCATGAAACTTTGGTGAATTGTTTATATCTATTGACGTGAGCTCACTTTCGTTTTTTTAATAATAAATTTTAGATTTTACGATTCCGAGTTATGGGTTTTTATTCATTAAAAAAAGAGGAATTTTCCAGTTTTCGGACAATAACTCAAAAACACTTTCACCAATTTGCAAGAAACTTTGGTGAATTGTTTACATCTATTGACGTAAGTTCCCTTTCGATTTTTATAAATTTCAGATTTTACGTTTACTAGGTATGGGGTTTTATTCATTAAAAAAGGGGGGATTTTCCAGTTTTCGGACAATAACTCAAAAATGCTTTCAGTAGTTTTCATGAAACTTTGGTAAATTGTTTATATATATTGTCATTCATATAAGCTCCCATTCGATTTTTATAAATTTTAGATTTTACTTTTCCGAGTTGTGGGATTTTATTCATAAAAAAGGGGTGACTAGTTTTCCAGTTTTCGGACAATATCCTTAAAGTGCTTTAAGCAGTTTTCATCAACTTTGGTGACTGATTATATCTATTAAGATAACCTCCCTTTAGTTTTTCATAAGTTTCTAATATGACATGGAAAAGTTATTCAACTTTATTCTTTGAAAAGGGGACGGGCGTATCATGCGCTCATGGCGCAGTTGTTTATTTATACTTGTTTTACCCAGGAACATATATATTGACAGATATACTATTCCCAGTTTTACCCAATATCTTTAAATATATATATTTGTTATAGGGGAATCATTGCTAGCGCTGCATGCAATAATACTAAATCTATTAAGCACCTAATTGTCAAATATAGGAGTACTAGGGGAAAGGCAGCGCATTTTTAAAAATAAAATTCCCATATGTTCAACATAGAAACACCAAAAGGGCACATTATCCTTAATTGATGATTGCTTTTTAATAGACAGACACACCTAGCTGGATTTTATCTGAAAAATTACTGTTGATGGTACATCTTTGAAAGTCTGTGTTAAATCAAACGACTAACGAGATGCATCACGGTAAATCTCGCAAAATCTCATCATACGCAGCTTATTTCAATACAGGCAATGCAAATAGTCCACGAGATTCCAATCCTCTCACCAGAGACATATAATACAATATGTCTCTGTTCTCACTATACAAATCCTTGGTTAAATTTATTGACGTTTTTAGAATCTGTTTGAAGACCATATCGTAAAATGCCTTTCGTTTTTATTTGCTGTTTTATTGTTGTTTCATTGGCCAAACCCCAAAAATGTCCCTTTATTCCGATTTTATCTACTACAATTACTCAAATATAAGTCTTCCATTGTAGACGTGTGTCTCTTACATCATAGATGTATAATGGGTTTATACATCTATGCTTACATGGAACCCTTTAATGCCACACAATATCACATTGAAATTAATCTATTTGTCCACAAGAAACCTAAGGAATATATCAAGTTAAACTTCAAAAACATGTGTACTATAACTTCACGTTAAAGAGTCTGTTGCGAGTTTGATTCAGTCTTTTGTAGACAAATTTCCAAATGTACTAAAAATTAGGATCATGTTGATTTAATCTTACCAGAGACATTATATGAGGATATGGATGGGGTTTATAGAATTGCGAATAATGTGAAAAAAATATAAAGAATAGAGTGAATTTTACCCCCCCCCCCTTTTATAGCTTGCTGTTCGGTGTGAGCCAAGGCTCCGTGTTGAAGGCCGTACTTTGACCTATAATGGTTTACTGTCTACAAATTGTGACTTGGATGGAGAGTGGAGAGTTGTCTCATTGGCACTCATACCACATCTTCTTATATCTAGTCAATGTATCAAGAAAATTCACCTGAATCAATGATTGATTAATTGATTGTTTCTTACTTAATGTCCAGTGGCAAACATTTCTAGATATTTAATGCTAAGAAATTGGTCTAAGAACTAAACCATAGATTTATAATTGAATCATTAAAATGATGTCAAGGGTGAGATGTATCCTGTTGACCGGTAAAAGATAAACTAATCCAAGTACGAAATCATGAATTATTTGAAGAAGTCAAGGACAACTGAGACCTGCCAGACAACCAATGTACACCTTACAAACATATTATAGACCATATATATAGTTGTACTAAAACATACAATTTTATTATTATGAAACAAAATAATGCAAACTAGATGATCAGCTAATTATCAATATTTTTTCCTAAATTTTATTTTGCAATCAGTCTGAAATGCAAGTTGACAGAAGATGATGAAAATTTATATAACATTCAAGTAGATATGAATGAAATAACACATTTGTCTAGAAGAACAATCGATAAGGGTTACTGCTTACTCTGAAAAAAAACCCAGATAGGCATAAAGTATTACCCATGTTGGTTATTTCCTTTAAAGAAATAAATAAGATGGCCAGCTGAAGGACGCCTCCGGGTGCGGGAATTTCTCGCTGCATTGAAGACCTGTTGGTGACCTTCTGCTGTTGTCTGTTCTATGGTCGGGTTGTTGTCTCTTTGACACATTCCCCATTTCCATTCTCAATTTTATAATAAAAATTTATTTTACATCTGCGTAAATCCTTTATTTTAATAACAATGTGCTATATGACTAAGATTTAGAGTGTATGTCAAAGTGGCAGCAAACCAACAAGACAAATAATCGGAAGATGTCTATGAGGGTCTGGATGAGAGGTCCCTCATTTCTGTATTCTTTAATTTTGTACGTAATTTTTCTCTGTTCTTTATTTTTTTGGTCCTACTTTTCTTTATGCTTTATTTATTTGGCCATTTATACTGCACATTTTACCCATTATTCTCTAGTCTGTAAACCCCATCCAGACCCTTGTCTATATTATAACAATTCTGTTGGCTTTTTAAATATTCATGACTTTTTCTTATATTACAAAGTACTAGTACTGAGTGTTGAAATTATCCATATTGAAGTAGGAAAGATATAGACTTTTAAAGTTTTCTATCATTTATTGAGTAAATTATAATTCAATATGACACAAGGTTCACTGTTTGCTGTATTATGTTCTAGGACAGTCATGCAGGGGAGCACAATGTGTAACAGCGCAAAAAATGGCTATATCATGGGGAGGGCTATTTCAAACATTTAAACAAAAAGCAATTTTTAAAAATCAGACAAAAGGGTCTTTCAATAAACTAAAACTTTGGAATACAGCAGAATGCATTGAGTGTGTAGGTAAAGGTAATATCTTTGGTTAGCTTGCTTGCTAGCTGAACCGTGAAATCATTATTAGGTTAGGTATACTACCCTCCTTTCGGAGTAGTCTAGTCCTACAGACCAATAGTTATCTGTCGGACTAGTCTACTCGCAAAGGAGGGTAGTAAACCTAACTTAATAATAACTTCACGGTTCAGCTAGCAAGCAAGCTAACCAAAGATATTACCTTTACCTACACACTCAAGGCATTTTGCTGTAAAAGGGAAATTGCTTTTTAACAAATAAAATTCAACAATAAGATAATGTGATAAAAATTAATATCATTTTAAACTAATACAACTTGTTTATATTTTTGGGATATATTCCAATTCATAAAAAATAAACAATTGTTTGAACTGGAATTAAAAAAATGACTTCAAAGCAGGGCTTCCAAAACGGTCATATATTCCGGACTTGACCGAAACTTTCATAAAAAGACCGGCTGCTCTCAGCCTCAAACGGTCAAATAGAATTGGTGTGCCACATTTTGTTATTCAAGGCATTTTCATGAAACGGTCATTTCAATTTTTACCAACTATCGATCGATAAAAATGTCCGTTTGGGGTTTTGGGCATGTCCGTTTGGGCATTTTAGTTTATAATTGTGGCAATCTATTTCACAAAGATATTTCGGTCATAATTGGGTTTAATAAAACAGAAGCAGCATATTTCAGATACTTTGAAGTGTCTCAGTTAGTCTAATCCTCTGGGTACATAAATGTACGGCTTGGTCTTTAGCTTGTGTACATCAATAAAAAGTAGAAAAAACACGTTTTCTTTTATTTAAATAACAACAAGCTGTCAAACAATTATCCCTTCAATAAGTTATATTGAAGCCATAAATCATTCACTGATTACAGGTTTGTTACCTTTGATGAGGTGTCCTTAGCTTATCTTTATCAATAGAATTAATGATGCATAACAATGTACATAAATTTACAAAGTGTTAAGTACTCACAGAGAGAAGATAGATTATATAAACAGAAACAAAAACATGAGAACAGTCAGGTACTGAAGCTGATTGATGCAATGATGGTTACTGTATTACGATACACAGAAAAATGACACAATACCGAGGATAATATTTTATTTATTTTTAGAATGAAGAAAACAAAACAGTTATAAATAATTTTATTGCATATAACACTACTAATTATTTAGACACATATATCAATTTATGCATCCTCTCAGTTACATTTAAGTATCCAGCTGATCATTGACCGTCAAAAATATTTTTTCAAAAATATTTCTTTGAAAAATGTCCGGCTGTCGTCAGGAAATTTTGGAAGCCCTGCTTCAAAGTCGAACTGAATCAGTTTGCAAAGAATTCTGCTCAAACCGGTGCTAGGGGCTGTCTCAAACTTGCAGTTAGGCGAGAGTGTTTGTGGTTTTTTTTTGCTCCCTGTTGAAGGCCTCACTGTGACTTTTAAGATGAAGAACAGCAATAAAAGTGCTGTTCCTTGGCTTTTTGTGTGTTTTTTGATGTGTATGTACTGATTTTGTGTCATGGATGAATACCCTATATCCTTTGCTTTTCTAATTCGGGATCCATTGCTGGTGTTGACAAGTCTTAATTTTTGATATTTTGTGTTTTTAAAACCATGATGCAAAAGAAAAATATCTTTTTAATTCAATTGGACATATTTGTCATTAGATTAATAGCATACCCTTTAAGTATTTCTATAATGAACCTGATATAATGCCATAAAGCATAAACATATATGTAATTTTCAGGAAATAGAAATACTAACTGGGTATACTTTAAACTTATCACATAAAGTTTTTTTCAAATTTCAACCCATAAGAGCAGAAGGGTTAAAATCGGTCCTAAGATTCAAATATTTTTTTAATCTAGCTGGAGTATTATGGAAATGGTTGTGATATAACTATTTATCTATTTGGAACATAACACTATAATTTATGAAGTAACTGCTATGACCCCTTAATTATGCATAATTTGTGTTGAATTGTCCAATTTTCCATAGTTTATAACAGTTTTTGAATAGTTACTTTTGGCTGCAATCCTGGATCTAGGAATTATTGTTGTGTCTAGGGATAATATAAACATATCAAAAATATACTAACCTTGGAGCATGTATTATAATGTACTTTTATTCAGAGATTTATATTTTTTTAAATGGACTCATTGAAGAAGCAAACAGTGACCTTTTTAATCTTTATTATGAAGTTGACACTCAAGGCCATATTTTGGCAAAAGTGAAACTTGTTCTTAGTCAGATTGAGGTCAGCCAGTTTGAAATTTGCTGTTTCTTGATAGAAATCAAAAGAATAAATTTTGAATTTAGACTTTCCCAATATATTTCCATTGCTGAATGCTTTTTTTACTGCTGTTAATCAAATATGAAGAGAATGTGTCCAGACACTGAACTGAATATCCAAAAGTTTTACTAGAGGTTGCAACATAGGAACATGGACACTGTTTAAGATACTTTTTAACAGACTAGATATTTTTTTATTTTTATGAATGACAATATAAGAAATTTTATTATGGGTGAATATAAGTGTGTTGTTCCATAATTAGACATATTTTTTCAATTCACCTCACTGACAAAATAAATCATAATAATAAATAACTTACATATCTATACATCACAAATGCTACAATAATGGAAAAGTATAACAATAAAATAATTTATTATATACTTAGTAGTGAATACATGATATCGATATCAGTCACAGTTTCAAAGGCTTTATCACACCAAGTGGTCTAAGTAGTTCTACTAATGTAATCACTAGCCAGTCAACACTGAGGTTGTGAGTTCGAACCCCGCTCATGTGGGTGCACTTGACTCCAATCTTAATTGACTAGGATTGTCAGTTTTCCTATCGAAAATCTGTGGTTTTCTCCGGGCACTTCGGCTTCCACCACCAATAAAAACTGGCCGCCACGAAATGCCCAAAAGTGGTGCTTAAAAGTGGCGTTAAAAACACAAAAATCAAATCAAATCTTTATCACACCATTAATCTGTATGACGTCACGTCAACGATATCATACACTGTTGCAAAGGCTTTATCAAACCCCTTATCTGTATGACGTCACATTACATGGAAAAAAATCTACTTGATATATATAATAAAGTGTATAATATGATATGGCTTTTTCAATATCACACACCGAATCAACCCTCAACTTATATTGGTGTCTCAGGTTGATACAGGTGTGATATTGAAAAAGCCATATGATATTCTCTATATATAAGACTGTTCACAAACTTCAACCATAACAAGTTAATTTAGTCAAGAGACATTATTCATTTCTATGCTTTAGCTGCCTGACACATTTCACATTGTAATGAATTTGGTCCATTTTCATAAGTACATTGTGCACAGTTCCATTTTGGTCCACCACCTCCTCCCATTCCTCCAAACCCTTGACCTCCCTGCCCTGAAATTCCTCCAAATCCTTGACCTCCTTGTCCCATCATTCCTCCAAGTCCTTGACCACCTTGACCCATCATTCCTCCAAGTCCTTGACCTTGCCCCATCATTCCTCCTAGACCTTGACCTCCTTGTCCCATCATTCCTGCCAGACCTTGACCTCCTTGACCCATCATTCCTGCTAGTCCTTGACCTCCTTGTCCACCTCCCAATCCACCTTGACCCATTAATCCTGCTAAGCCTTGTCCTCCCATTCCAGCTTGGCCCATCATTCCTGCCAGGCCTTGTCCACCCATTCCTCCCTGACCCATGAGTCCTGCTAGCCCTCCACCTCCTCCTTGTGCCATCTGATTCAGTAAATTCATTCCACCTCTTCCTCCACCCTGTTGAAGTTGAGCTAAGAAATCCATTCCACCTGCACCGCCTGCCTGTGCCTGTTGAGCTCTCATCTTTTTTTCTTTATCTAAAATGATAATCAGATGATGCAATTACAGCTGAAATAGGAGGACATTGGGCTCAAACATATTATTGAAAGGACCGAAAATTTCAATATTTTTTGCAATTTCATGGGTTAAAGTATGGCTCTAATCATACTATCACCTTCACATGCAGTCTGCATGCAACACTTTTTTAATAAACTGCTTTGCTGAGCTCAGCTGGATACCCCCGCAGAGGTCCAACCCTGAACAGTTGGGGCAAAAATGGACACAATATTCAAGCTTGATACAGGTCTGAATGTGGATTGTATTTAATATTTGACATATTATAGGTTTCTGAATAAATGTCGTCAAAGAACTTGAAATTGGTTATATGAATTGAATTTATATTCAATTAAAGATTTCTTGCTGTTGTGCAATACACTGTGCTGTTGTGCAATACTTAGTAAATCTGTTGTCAGACTATAAACAATTAAAGTTCAATTAATTCTCAATGTCATATTTGAAATTTATGAAAATGTAAAGGGAGCTTACATCAATAGATATAAACAATTCACCAAAGTTTCATGAGAATTGCTGACAGCATTTTTGAGTTATTGTCCGAAAACTGGAAAATCCCCCCTTTTCTAATGAATAAAACCCCATAACTCAGAAATGTAATATGTAAAATTTATAAAATTCTAAACAGAGCTTACATCAATAGATATAAACAATTCACCAAAGTTTCATAAGAACTGCTGAAAGCATTTTTTATTTTTTGTCAGAAAACTGGAAAATCCCCCTTTTTTTATGGATAAAACCCTGTAACTCGGAAACGTAAAATCTAAAATATATAAAAATCGAAAGGGAGCTCATGCCAATAGATATAAACAATTCACCACAATTTCTTGCAAGTTGGTGAAAGCATTCTTGAGTTATTGTCTGAAAACTGGAAAATCCCCCTTTTTTTAATGAATAAAACCCCATAACTAGGAAACGTAAAATCTAAAATTTATAAAAAACAAAAGGGAGCTCACGTCAATAGATATAAACAATTCACCAAAATTTTTGGGAAATTGGTTAAAGCTTTTTTGAGTTAATGTCTGACATGTTGACGACGGACGGACAGACGGACAACGGTATACCATAATACGTCCCGTAAACGGGCATATAAAAATCAAATTGAGTTTCTTATTGACAAGTTTTCATGTAAACAAGTATCAAATCTCAAACTTCTTGGGTTTATTTTTACATAAGACTTTAGATTTTAATAAAACTGTTAGTTGATTTTTTTCTTTGTAAGTACTGCTCAAAGATTTCCATATTGTAAACCTCTATGCAAACATGAAAGTGTGTCAGAAAGATTGACAGACAGAAGGATCGATAGATTGAGAAATTTGCTATATCACCCAATAAAACAATGATGAGGGAAAAAAAATCAATAACAAACTTAATAAAACATCTTATTATATTCTGTAAGAAAAATACTTACACAATTCCCACTCTTTTTTTCTAAGATCGTCTTGTTCAGGTACAGACATACCTAGATAAAGTAAAAGCAACTTCAATGAATAAGTTATAAGGAAAAGCAAAATTGAGTATAACCTGTATAATGGTACAATAAATGGGGAATGGACACAGATGATGCCCCCCGCTTGCATATCATATAAAGTTGTAAAGGGACAGTAAAAGTGAAGCTATCCAAATTTGTACTTGATCTGAGTTTTGTGGTAATAACAATTGTGTATAAGTCTCATAACTTTTGGTTGAGGCAAACTTAAGTTAGAGAACGGAAACGAAACATTCAGCAATTTTTCCATTTGTAAAGGGGCATACACTAGAACAGTTAAAGTGACACCACCAAAATTCAAACTTGATCTGTATTTTGTGGTAATAAGCATTGTGTATTAGTTTCATACAATTTGGTTGAGCCAAACTAAAGTTAGAGAACGGAAACGAAAAATTTAGCAATTTGTCCAATTGTAAAGGGCATAGCTCTAGAACAGTTGAAGTGAGGCCACCAAAATTCAAACTTGATCTGTATTTTGTGGTAATAAGCATTGTGTATAAGTTGCATACCATTTGGTTGAGGCAAACTAAAGTTAGAGAAAGGAAACCAACTTTGGGATGTACAGACGTACAGACGGACAAGGTAAAACTTAATGCCCCCTCCACTACGGCGGGGGCATGAAAATGGTGTGTTGAGGACAAGCATAACACAAGTATGGTGTAATTTAACCTAAGGATGAATTTTTATGGAATCTAAACTAGCAAAACATATTATATGGATTCCTTTTGGTTTCGAAATTGCTAAAATTCCCAAAAAATCTAAATTTTAATACATACATGACATAAGATCATTGGAACTGAAGTAAAAGATAAATAGAGTTAATCAAAAAATTGATATACTAGCTCACAGTAATCTAAAGATATCTTTCTGAAACCAAATTTTACTAATCACTCAGAGATAAGTTAAAGGGCACAACTTTGTAATAGTAGTTGCAGCAACAAACAGTTAAAACTTTATCATGTATTTCATGGTAAGTAATACTTTTGACATCAAAGCCATTTTATGCAGGATTTTGTCCTCAAGGGATGTTGACCGAATTATCTTGAAATTCTTTATCATATAAACTCAAAACTTCAAGAAAGGCTTTCAAAGGAGTGAAAATTGCATTTCAGCACATATATACTCATTTATAACCATTGAATATTAGATTAATAATCCAAAAGAGCCTTTACCATTTTGAGTATTTCAAGGGAAATAACTCTGAATGCTCAATAACATTTTATTATTTTGCAATAATTCAAGGGCATCAATCTAAAACAGTAATTGTTATTAAAATTGACCAACACTTCATTGAAGGGAGTATTGTTGCAAAGTTATAAAGTCTTACACTAAAACTAACTTTTAAAGTACCATCCGAAAACCATTATACCATTTGGATGTAATTCAAGGGCATAACTATGGGACAGTGATTGTTGCAACTGTAGATATCAATTTTCACCTGCATTGTGTGGTAGGTAGTAATTTGCAAAATTATATGGTACTGCACAAAATGGGAACTTAAAAAAACATTTGGAAATAAGCTGTATGGGACAAACAGATGGAGAAACTGCTTGCAAGATTTTTTTCAGGAAGCATAATAACACATAGAAATCCTAAATTTGAGCCAATTCTTTAAAGTTAAACATCATTTTCTTATAAGAAATGATTTATTATGGAAAACTGTACACCAACTGATTTTCGCGGATACTTTATTTTGCGTTTAGCCTTTTCTATCCCAATTAGCGGTGATTTAATTTCGCGATTTTCAAGTTTACTTGATGTAGTTAGACAAGGAAAGATACAGGTTTTTAATTTTCGCTATGATTTATATTTGAGTTATTTTTCTTCTCACGAAAGTCGCAAAAATTAGTTGGTTTACAGCAACTTAAATCAGAATACATACGTAAAAGCTTTATTTCTCCTTTTATAGATGAATCATTAACATTTACATACTCCATTTTGTCAAGGTCAAAATTATAACTGTAAAATAATTCAATATATATGTAAATACAACTACAAACATGACAAATAGATTTTGAAAATAAATGGGGAATGTGTCCATGGGATACAGATGATGCACCTGTTTACATATCATATAAAGTTATAAAGGGTCATAACTGAAGAACGGTAAAAAAGATGCTACCCAAATTTGTTATTGATCTGAGTTTTGTAGTAATAAGTATTGTGTATAAGATTCATAGCATTTGGTTGAGGTAGACTTAAGTTAGAGAATGGAAACGAAAAATTCAGCAATTTTTCCTTTTGTAAAGGAGCATAACTCTAGAACAGAAAAAGTGACAACACCAAAAATCAAACTTGAACTGTCTTTTGCGGTAATAAGCATTGTGTATAAGTTTCATTACATTTGGTTGAGGCAAACTTAAGTTAAAGAACAGAAACGAAAAATTCAGGAATTTTTCTATTTGTTAAGGGGCATAACTCTTGAACAGTTAAAGTGACACCACCAAAATTCATAATTTGATCTGTATTTTGTGGTAATAAGCATTGTGTATAAGTTTCATAACATTTGGTTGAGGCAAACTAAAGTTAGAGAACGGAAACGAAAAATTTAGCAATTTTTCCATTTGTAAAGGGGCATAACTCTAGAATGGTTAGAGTGACACCCCGAAAATTCAAAATTTGATCTGTATTTTGTGGTAATAAGCATTGTGTATAAGTTTCATAACATTTGGTTGAGGCAAACTAAAGTTAGAGAACGGAAACAAAAAATTCAGCAATTTTTCCATTTGTAAAGGAGCATAACTCTAGAACTGTTATAGTGATGCCACCAAAATTCAAACTTGATCTGTGTTTTGTGGTAATAAGCATTGTGTATAAGTTTCATAACATTTGGTTGAGGCAAACTAAAGTTAGAGAACGGAAACCAACTTTGGGACATACGTTCAGACAGACAAGGGTAAAACTCAATGCCCCCTCCGCTACGGCGGGGGCATAAAAATATTTTCTGTAACCTTCAAATTCATTATTTTCATTTATCAACAGATTGAAGAGACAAATTAATTTCAATAAAAATAGATTAGGAATGTGTCCATGGGACACAGATGATGACCCCGCTTGCATATAACATTATAAAGGGACATAAGTCAAGAACTGTAAAAGTGACTCTACCCAAATTTGTACTTGATCTGAGTTTTGTGGTAATAAGCATTGTGTAGAAGTTTCATAACATTTGGTAGAGGCAAACTAAAGTTAAAGAACGTAAACGAAAAAATTCAGCAATTTTTCCATTTGTAAAGGAGTATAACTCTAAAATGATAAAAGTGACACCACCAAAATTCGAATTTGATCTGTGTTTTGTGGTAATTAGCATTGTGTATAAGTTTCATAACATTTGGTTGAGGCAAACTAAAGTGAGAACGGAAACAAAAAATTCCAAAATTTTTCCATTTGTAAAGAGGCATAACTCTAGAACGGTAAAAGTGACGCTACCAACATTCAAACTTGATCTGTGTTTTGTGATAATAAGCATTGTGTATAAGTTTCATAACATTTGGTTGAGGTAAAATAAAGTTACAGAATGGAAACAAAAAATTCATCAATTTTTCTATTTGTAAAGGGACATAACTCTAGAATGGTAAAAGTGACGCCACCAAAATTCGACCTTGATCTGTGTTTTGTGATAATAAGCATTGTGTATAAGTTTCATAATATTTGTTAGAGGCAAACTAAAGTAAGAGAACGGAAACAAAAAAACCAAGCAATTTTTCCATTTGTAAAGGGGCATAACTCTAGAACGGTAAAAGTGACGCCACAAAATTCAATCTTGATCTGTGTTTTGTGGTAATAGGCATTGTGTATAAGTTTCATAACATTTAGTTGAGGCAAACTAAAGTTAGAGAACGGAAACCAACTTTGGGACATACGTTCAGACAGACAAGGGTAAAACTCAATGCCCCCTCCGCTACGGCGGGGGCATAAAAATATTTTCTGTAACCTTCAAATTCATTATTTTCATTTATCAACAGATTGAAGAGACAAATTAATTTCAATAAAAATAGATTAGGAATGTGTCCATGGGACACAGATGATGACCCCGCTTGCATATAACATTATAAAGGGACATAAGTCAAGAACTGTAAAAGTGACTCTACCCAAATTTGTACTTGATCTGAGTTTTGTGGTAATAAGCATTGTGTAGAAGTTTCATAACATTTGGTAGAGGCAAACTAAAGTTAAAGAACGTAAACGAAAAAATTCAGCAATTTTTCCATTTGTAAAGGAGTATAACTCTAGAATGATAAAAGTGACGCCACCAAAATTCAAATTTGATCTGTGTTTTGTGGTAATTAGCATTGTGTATAAGTTTCATAACATTTGGTTGAGGCAAACTAAAGTTAGAGAACGGAAACAAAAAATTCTAAAAATTTTCCATTTGTAAAGAGGCATAACTCTAGAACGGTAAAAGTGACGCTACCAACATTCAAACTTGATCTGTGTTTTGTGATAATAAGCATTGTGTATAAGTTTCATAACATTTGGTTGAGGTAAAATAAAGTTACAGAATGGAAACAAAAAATTCATCAATTTTTCTATTTGTAAAGGGACATAACTCTAGAATGGTAAAAGTGACGCCACCAAAATTCGACCTTGATCTGTGTTTTGTTTTAATAAGCATTGTGTATAAGTTTCATAATATTTGTTAGAGGCAAACTAAAGTAAGAGAACGGAAACGAAAAAACCAAGCAATTTTTCCATTTGTAAAGGGGCATAACTCTAGAACGGTAAAAGTGACGCCACAAAATTTCAATCTTGATCTGTGTTTTGTGGTAATAGGCATTGTGTATAAGTTTCATAACATTTAGTTGAGGCAAACTAAAGTTAGAGAATGGAAACCAATTTTGGGACGTACGGACGTACAAGGGTAAAACTTAATGCCCCCTCCGCTACGACTGGGGCATAAAAAGTTATTTTAACTCAGTTTGTACTTTATGTGGTATATTCCATCTGCAGATGGATCAATTTTCATCCCTTTGGGGAATTGACAATTAAAATGAAATTTGAGCATTGAGTGGAAACCTTACTGAGACATCATCAAATATTAATCTATTACAGAACACACACATCTCATCATATAATACTTATGGTGCTACCATTTTGACTATGGTTATTATGTATATTATAACATAGAATTATAAATCTGCAATTTCATTATACATAAAAACCTTAGTCTACCCTATTCCTTGTTGTAAGATGATGACACAACTTTTACTCAAATAAAAATGTACTCTTACCCTATTCCATGGTGCAAGGTCATGACTATGCCTCTGCGACCTCTCTGTGTATCTATATGGTTGAGTACTGTATTATTTGCCTCTTCATCAAGTGTTCTCCATTCTGTAGGACTATCATCTTTAAATTGATACTGTATCACTAATTCTTCTGTTAAAAAAAGTTGAATTCATGTTTTAAATTTATGATCCAACAGCAACATTATGTAAAGAAACTTTATTTTTATTTTCTGAAAGAAAAAAATTAAAAATAATGTGGGTTTCATTGGGGTCTAAGCGTGACACAGGATTGGCTGATCTTTTGGAAGCACGACACGTGAAAGTCAAATTATTAAGCGTAAAAACCAGAAACAAAGTTGGGCTGGACACGTGAAAATACAAGGGTTATTTTTACATTTTTACAATGATAAGTGGAATACGGGAATCTGTCAAAACAAAAAGCGGAATCCGGGATCAGACCACCCAAACCCCCCCCCCCGAAATGTTTCATTTATTTTCATGGTAACCAAATTTTGTGGATTGAGAAAAATTATATTTTTTAGTCATCATGGATATTTGATTTCATGGATTTGCCAAAGTTAGCATACAGACCCAAAGAACATTTGTACTTTGCTGAACATTTACATTTGTGGTTTACATATATCCACAAAATCCAAGAAAATTGGTACCTTGGTATATTTGACCAAAATATTTCAGAGGTTGAAAAGCTAGGCAATCCATATTTAGTTTGTTGATGACATATGTCAAATATGAAGTTGAAGAGGTTATTATGATATAAGGTATTGTATTCATAATCAGGAACCAAGATGACGAAGGGGTGTGCTGGAAGACTGATAGAAACATAATAATTTGAAAAAAAAATACATACTTAAACCCCTATTTATTCTTTCTTCTTCATCACTGAAATTTAAAAAAAAACATTGAACTATAAGGGAGCCAACATTTGATTTTTATGGGGGGCTAGGATGAAAAATTTTGTCCTGCATTTTTTTTTTTAGTTGTAATCTCTGTCCTGCCTTTTTATTTTTCACTCTACTCGATCCTGACTTTTTTTTTACATAAATTGTCATCCTGTCTTTTTTTTTTGCTAAGTGTCTCATCCTGCCTTTTTTTTCCCCCAAAACTCCTGTCCTGCCTATTTTTTTCAAATTTCATCCTAGCCCCCCCATAAAAATCAAATGTTAGCTCCCTAAGTTTAATTGATATAATAAATATAAAAAATCTTTCATTCTTGCTATAACAACATTGATAATTAACTCCTGCGCTACTCACATTCGTGAATTAATGCGTTGTCCATTCATTGGTTGAATATTTTTCTTCATTTGAATTATTGGATTAGTTATTCTATAATTAATAAATTGTTTGACAATTACATGATCACATTACTGCATTATGTGTTTGAGCTCTCAAGGGTAGAGATGAGGTCTGGAAAATATATGTATCTAAAGACAGCTGCAATAGGGTTTAAAATTCATTTCATGCAATCTTTACCTCAAAAAAAAAAAAAGAAATTTCCCAAAAAATATTTGGTGAATTGCTATCTGTATTTATTGCATAAACCAGTAGCAACTTTAAACAAAATTATTAAAAGCAGGTCACTTTTAGGGTATTCGTTGTTAGCTAGGCAATATTGACAAAACGTTGCCGAAAATTTAAGTTACCTAACATGATATTAGTTGTTCAGAAAAATAAAAACTAATATCACATTTGGTAATACCTTGGCAACAAACCAAAAAGAAATTTGTATATTCTCATCACTGAACTAAATATGAAAAAATAAAATTCTTTAGCCATAACACTTATTTTCATTAACAATTCAAAACAGTACAAGTAAAGTACTACACATACCAACTTTTGATCATTTGTTGATGTATTAATCAAATATGATCAATTGTTATTAAATCAATCAGTTACTCAAATATGCATCTTATTTACAGTCGAATCTTGGCTTAAAAATAAGTATTTAAAGAAATTGCTTTAATTTAACTTTTTTCCCTGAAAACACAAAAATCCATATCATACTATTCCATCAATATATAATAAAGATTGATTTTGATTTTTGGTGTTTTAACTCCACTTTTAAGCACCGCTTTTGGGCTATTTCGTGGCGGCCAGTTTTTATTGGTGGAGGAAGCCGGAGTGCCCGGAGAAAACTACCGACCTTCGATAGGAAAACTGACAATCCTAGTCAATTAAGATTGGAGTCGAGTGCACCCGCACAAGGGGGGTTCAAACTCACAACCTCAGTGTTGACTGGCTAGTGATTACAGTAGTAACTACTTAGACCACTTGGCCACCGAGGCCCCTTATATCTATATAATATAGAGCTGTGGTATGATTTCCAAAGAGACAACTATTCATTAAAGGCTAAAAGGACAAAAATGTACCTTCAAAAAACTTTGAACTAGTTATAATACTGCATTAAGTATCTGGAATGCAAAACAAAAGTTTAAAAAGATTTTATAACCCTTTTTAATAGCTATTGTATATTTTGACTCCCCTATCATGGAAAATAGAACCCTCCCCTTAGAGGACACATTTTTAATTTATAATAGCATTTACAATACTTTAACTAATTATAATGCTGCAATAAGTATCTTAAATGCAAAACATAAGTTGGAAAAGATTTTTTGTTAGCCATGGTTTTTTTTACCTACCCACCCTACCATAGAAAATTGAACCCCCTACTCCAATTAAGCTAAACTTTTCATTTATAATAGCATTTACACTATGTTAACTAATTAAAATGCTGCAATAAGGTCTTGGAAGAAAAATTTAAGTTGAAATAGATTTTATATCACTTTAACTTAAAAAATTTGTAAGGGTTCAGCGGAACCCAGTGTCTCGCCTACTTTTGCTATTAATCGCAGGCTCAACAAAAATGAGGATAAAAAATAATAACAATATTCCTTTCGATACAATCTTTTGATTGTAAGAAGCTTCTGTCCAAGTTTGGTAAAAATCCAGTATAGTTTATGAATCTAATAAATGTTTTAAATCTTTAACTGCAGACTGTATGTAATGTTAACTGGAAGAAAAACTAAGTCCATTTATAAGTAAAATACGGATAAACAGGTACAAAATTTTAACAAAATTTCCTTCGAGACACTAGCTTTTGATCATAAACAAGCTTCTGAACAAGTTTGGTACAAATCCAGGATAGTTTAAGAAAGTTATTAAAATTTTAAAAACTTTAACCACAGAGTGAATGTAATGTTTCCTGGCAGAAAAACTAAGTCCATTTATAAGTAAAATACGGAAAAACAGGATTTTTTATTTTTACAAAATTTACTTCTGGATACTATCTTATGATCATAAACAAGCTTCTGTCCAAGTTTGGTAGAAATCCAGGATAGTTTAAGAAAGTTATTAAAATTTTAAAAACTTTAACCACAGAGTGAATGTAATGTTTCCTGGCAGAAAAACTAAGTCCATTTATAAGTAAAATACGGAAAAACAGGAATTTTTTTGTTTACAAAATTTAATTCTGGATACTATCTTATGATCATAAACAAGCTTCTGTCAAAATTTGGTAGAAATCCAGGATAGATTAAGAAAGTTATTAAAATTTCAAAAACTTTAACCACAGAGTGAATATTTGTGGACGCCGCCACCGACGACGACATCGACGGAATGTAGGATCGCTATGTCTTGTTTTTTCGACAAAAGTCAAAGGCTCGACAAAAAAGTATTTTGACCCCACCCTTTTGCCATAGAAAATTGAATCCCCTACCCTAATAGGTCATTTTTTTATAATTTATAATAGCAATTACACCACTTTAATTATTATACCCCACGCAACAAAGTTGTGGAGGGTATAATGTTTTTGACCCGTCCGTCTGTCCGTCTGTCAGTCCTGTTCTTGTCATCACAACTACTCTGAAACCACACAACAGAATTTCATGAAACTTTGTAGATAATAAGGACATACTATGTAAATGTGCATATCGACAGGAAATTACGATTGAATTTTTTTTCTAGGAGTTATGCCCCTTTAACTTAGAATTTTGGCCTAAATATACTACTGCAACAGTTTGTCATCACAACTCCTCTGAAACCACACAACAGCATTTCATGAAACTTTGTAGATAATAAGGACATACTATGTAGATGCACATATCGACAGGAAATTATGATTCAATTTTTTTTCTAGGAGTTATGCCCCTTTGAACTTATAATTTTGGCCTAAATATACTACTGCAACAGTTTGTCATCTCAACTCCTCTGAAACCACACAACAGAATTTCATGAAACTTTGTAGTTAATGAGGACATAATATGTAAATGTGCATATCCACAAGAAATTTTTTATCAGTTGACTTTTGTAGAGTTATGAGTCTTTGAACTTAGGAATCTGGTGAGATTTTGTTTGTCCAGTGACAATGTGGGTGCGTGGGGTATGTGAGTGTGCTCACAAAGGTTCTTTAATTTTATAAATATATTTGCACCACTTTAGCTTGTTAGAGTGAAAAACATATGTTTGAAAAAATCTTGTACCAGTTTTTCTCAGCCATGATATTTTGACCCAATTACCATGGAAAATTGAACCCCAATCATATGTCAGAATTTCAAATCATTAAAGCATTATAAAACTACTTATACCATTGTATTATGTTTAAATAAGTATCTGGAATGAATGAACAGGGTTTCAAATTTCCATACAGGGGGCAGAAGGGGGTCAATCTTCCATGGGGGTCAAAAACAATATGACACTACCACCTGGGGTGAACTTAGGTGCTCCTGAATGGTAACTTACATTATTTCTAAGTCAAAGCAGTCATCAGCACCAAATCTGTATCTTTCTCTTGTACCATTTGGCCATTTCACCTTTTGGATAATGAACAGAATATAAATGTTATTTTAGGTCAGATGCATAAAAAGCACAATAATTCAAAACATAATATGACACTCCATAAGTATAAATTAAAAGTATTTTTTTTTATACAAAAGTCATTTTAACTCTTACTTGAAATGTTTTTTTTCTGTTTGACACAGAAAATGTACTATTAATATTTTGTAACCCAAAAATAAATATGTTAGTTGAAAACTACTGAAAGATAAGAAAACACAAACAAGAGGCTTACCTGTGCCTAAATCCCTCACATGGTAAACAAAAATTGCCAGTTGGCTAATTAGGACTTTGTGTTGCTGATAATTTTTGCAATTTACATGTTTAACCAAGCTTCTATAGTTTTTGAGATAACAGCCGAACTGTGAAAAAAAAATATTTCAGGGGCAATAAATTCAAAACAGGCTGACCATGACAGGACAATAACTGGAGAAGAACAGCCAGCCTGTTTTGAATTTATTGCCCCAGAAATATCTTTTTTTTCGCAGTTCAACTGTTATCTCAAAACCTATTCTCAAATTATTGTCAGGGAAGATAAGTCTTGTCATGGTGATCCTTTTTTTTTTACTATTTTCTCTTTTAACCTAGCTCCTAGAGTTTTCAGGATAACAGCCAACACTGCTAAAAATTGGAAAACAATTGATATTTCAGGGGCAAAAACTCATAAATATGAAGTTAAATTTTTCTCCAATTTTCAGGGTAACGGTAGATACATCTTAACATGCTGAACATTTTTGAATTTACACATTTAACCTAGCTCCTATAGTTTTTATGATAACAGTCAATAACTGTGAAATTTGGTATTCAGGGGCAATAACTCAATATAGCATCCTCAGATTTTTGTAAATTTTTTCAGGTAGATAGGACATGCCATTATGATCAATTTTGAAAAAGTTTAAACAGATGACGGATGACGGAAACAGGTCTCAGAGCTTAACTTGTACAGTGAAACCAGTTAAATGTAAAAATGTAAAACTTACTGTAACCCATTGTTTGGCATGTTTCCTTACAACAGTGCCTATTGATCTTCTACCTCCATCTTCATCACCTTTGTTCCAATGAACACCTGAAAACATATGTATTCAAAGCATGTAATCCGATAAAGTAGATACATATATATCATTTTACTTCGTTTTACTAAATTCTGAGCACAACATATTAATTAATAGAAAGCACAATACAATATATGAACTTCCATTTTTATTTTTATTATTATATCCTTTAATTGAGACCCATACAAGTAACACAAGGAAAGCTGAAAAAAGTATCCAGAATGTTACAATATATCTTTCACAACCATACCCTCTGAAGGTGTTGCTTCACTTTCCACAACTTTAAATCAGGCTGTTGGTTTTCTCTATTGAATTGTTCCACATTTTGTCAAACCAGTGGCTTTTATACATGTAACTTACTATACTTTATGGGTTTTTCTATAAACTATAATTGACGCATAATTATCTTTTTGTCTCTGTTGGATAGCTGTCTTATTGGCAATCATACCATATATCTCCTTATTTGTATAAAAAATGTTATCATGTTTTTTTCAAGTTCATATAAGTGTTGAAGATTTAATGTACATTCTTATGTGACACACAGACAGAACACAAAACAATATGTCTCCCCATATACATTGAGGGGATCATAAAATACATCAGACTGTAATACTGTGGATTCATTTATTTTCCTGGTTATCAGAATTCATGGATTGAGGTAAACTTGCATTTTTGTGGATATTTGATTTCATGGTTTTGCCACTCTCTGCATTCAAAGCCTATAGAAAATTTGTAATTCGTTGAACTTTTGAATTTGTGGTTCACATGTACCCACCAAACCCACGAAAATTGATATCCAACAAATATAATGAGTCCACTGTACTACATTTCAATATATGATATACCTCTGATAACTCGACATCCTGTATCAATATAACCAGGTATGGTCATGTCTATCTTTCTGTACATATACATTTTGTCTACCTCATGGTTTTCTGTTTCATACTTGTAGAAATGAATCTTGGTTGGTTTTTCATCCCATTTCACAACCATGGTATCTGAAAATGAAGCACACACATCATAAAATCTTGGTATCTGAAAAAGAAGCACACATCATAAAATTTTGGTATCTGAAAAAGGGCACATACACCATAAAATTTTGGTATTTAAAAAAGAAGCACGCACACCATAAAACTTTGGTATCTGAAAAAGAAGCACACACAGCGTAAAGTTTATTTGTAACATAAATAAACAGTTAGAATTTTTTTGTTAACTTTGCTTTTATTTTGGGTTGCTATCTCAATGATATTTTCATGACAGTACTAAAAGACAAGAGAAAGGAAACTTTTCTTTAAAATGACAGTGAGTGAACTGATTTTATGTAACCTGGTACCGATATTGGTATAAAAATCTTGTAGCTCTTATACAGGCTTATAAAAGATCTAAAGTGAATTGGATTTTTTATGACTTTGAAGAGGGTGGTAAAGGTGGGGTCTGAACACAGAAACACATGAAATAAAAATCCCAAAAATGTTGCACAGAAAATAAAAATCGGGAAAAAACGAAGGATGAGAAATAAAATTGTAAATATTAAGGAATAAAGTACTAGAAGTTATTACTCAGTCGTTCTTGGAGATTATGCAGTCATTATTAATGGACATAAAGACCCTGCGGTCAACTTTTAGAATCCGCTAGTTGCAAATATTATTCATAGTAATTTGATGGACATACATGTACAATAGACTTGCAAAAGTAGAATGATTTAAAAAAATATCCGGGCTGAATTTGAATTAGTCCCAGTTTACTTTTTAATCAAATGCAGGACAAGCACGAGAAATTCAGAGTACCGACATGAAACACGGGAAATAAATAATGGGAAACACAAAGCATGCACATCGAACCAAACACAAGAAAACGAGAAATAAAACGTCAAAACACGAAAACACATGAAATAAAAAGGCCGAAAACGTTGCACGAAAATAACCCTTTACCACCCTCTTTGAAGAGTTTCTAACATATATTTTTGGTAAAATCACAGCCTTTGAATTATAAGAATAACTGTATAACTAGATAATTTGCTAAACATTCCTGTCTACTTATTTATAATATATCTGCATATTACTTCTCTTGCAGTGAGCAACCACTGTTCCATTTTTATAAGGCTCTTTGTGTGTGTCTTTAAATTTGGATCCTGGTTTAACTCTTGTTCCAATAGGTGGAAGACGTGAGAAGAACTCAGTTGTATAAAGGGTAACTCTGTAGTCATCATCATACTCAGGTAGTGGTTCTCGTTCAAACAATTCCTCCGGTACCTCAAACTTATATCTGTCACGTAATAGTATACTTATCTCTGCCTGATAAAATAAACCATGATTTCTATTGTAAGATATGCAGTAGCAGATTCAGGGAAAGGAGGCCAAGAGGCTCAAAGAAAGTAGCAAGAGTAAATCTTTCCATTCGTTTGGAAAGCCATGAAAGAAACTTATGCAAATACATGTATTAGAAAACAATCAAGGATATTCTTAGCTATTACAAGTCTGCAGAATTCATAAAATTAGAATTCAAAGTTTATGGTTTATGTAACTTTTTTCAAAACAAATAATAATTCCAAACCTACAAAAAAGACTGCATGTGATTCTGCTTAAGGCTTAATACTAAATTTTTGAAAATGAAAAATAAAATAAAAGTTGCAATAGTTTTGAAAAAAGGTAGATTAATGAGATTTTCAGAAATGAAATAATCTTTTTCTACATTCTTTCTGAACCTTTTCAAATAGTCTATTGGCCAATTCCATAATTGTCCCTGTAATTAGAGATATACTTGTACAAGTTGTTTTCTTTAGGAGGGACATACAAGAAAGAGCAAATTTATCAGAGCATAATGTGTGAAATCTTGAAGCTTCTCAAATATCTCACTAATAATAACATTTAATCTTTTATAAATTTAAGCTTTTCAACATATTGTGCTTTGCATGGGTAGCAGTCCATTTTGTTTAGTTTAAAACAAGTCTTCAATAGACTATTTTCATTTTACCGACTTTTGACTCCTGATTATACAATTTTTCAACAGGTTTCCTATTCAATGGTATGACATCCTAGTACCAAGCCAAGTAAGAGCAAGGTGAAGAAGTAAAATCAAGCTTTCAATCGGTACAGTTTTTGGGGAAAATTATCTGCTTTACATTTTCTTTCAACGACAAAATCATCGGAAACAGTAAACTTTCCCCTCAAATTACACCGATAAAATGTTTGATTTCACTAAAGTCTTTTGGTTGCTCTTACTTGACCGAGTACCAGGATGTCCTACCACAGAAAAGGTAACCTGTCAAAAAATTATATAATCCAGAGTCAAATGTCGGTTATATGAAAATAGTTTATTGGCAAAGAGAAACAATTTGTGTAAAAAGAGTGTAATGTTACAGAATTAAATTGGTACTTGGCAAACAGATTATAAAGAAATTAAAATTTTACAACAGCTTGAACCTGTGACCTCTTACCTATCTTAAAATGCTAATCATCTATAAACCGACCAAGAACAAAATAGTTAAAAAATGATATTTATTTGTCAATGAGTAGTAATTACCACATCAGTTTTGTTGAAGTAGTCATACTCCGTCGTGTGCTTGTCTAACAGTTCCTTTATATTGCCTCTGTTTTTCTGATCTCTTAATTCTGGTAGCATCTTCCCAATGATTGTCTGCAACAAATTTAATATCTTGACTTGAATTTTTTTAAATAAATGAAAAAATATATAAGAGCTATGCTTAAAACTTAACAACAGCATTTTTATGAGGTCAATTAAGTTAACTCACTCACATTACATAATTATATATCATATGTAATTCCATTTTACAAATATATTATGGTTTGAAATTTGTGGACCACTGAATTTTATACATCGAAATTATCACTGCTAAATATTATTATAGGCCATATAAAAAACAAATAATCAAGTTAAATTTAGTTGCTTGCAGAGTAAAAATTGCATTAACTTAATAAAAAAAAAAACGAAAAAAATGCACCAAAGTTTATAATTAAATGTTCACCAACTAAAAATATGTGAAGTATGTACTTTCATAAATAAATATTATAAGTATCAATGTTACAGCTACCAAATGAAAAGACCTGTAAGTATCATTTATAAAGAGTTGCAATATGTGTACTTATAATAATCAATAAAGGGCATAGATGATCAAGCATCTTCATGAATGCTTACTGTGACTTGACTGTAAGTGTTGCTCTCAACCTACTGATTATCCCCCATGGAAACATATTAACAACATATTGTAGTTTCACATATATCATACTGAATATTACATGTTTTTATTCACATGATGTCTGATTCTTATGAGTATAAAAGACTTTTTCGAAAGAAAAATTGTATGAAAGCTTAGTTTGAACATTTTTATAGCAATTCAAATTACTACCTATCTCCTTTAGCATGACAATTTCAATAAAATATGTATATACAAATTGTTTGACTAATTTTTCCAAATATCATTGAAGTAGATTAAAGTCTTAAGTCTGCTTTATGTTTTATCACTTTGCACATTCACGACTTGACTGTGGTTTACTTCAGCAGTTTGATCAAATTTCTGACCAGTTGAACAGTTTGATTTAATAAAACAAATTGCAATTTGATCAGAATTTTGAATAAATTGCAATATGTGGAGAGCAACACTACCAGTACAGGCGGAAACCCAGTTGAAATAGAACAAAAGAATCGAAGCTCTTTGTTAGAGAAGGCGAAAATGCTTACTGTAATGTTTACTATAGTAACAAAAATTTTAAAAGTTAATAGAAACAAATAAAATGACAGTTTTCGGCTAAATTACGAAGTATTTTATCATAAAAACACCATTTGCATAAGTTTTCAATTTAACTATTACATAATTAAGCAGAACAATTAGATATCAAGTCGACGACATGGGTGTCTATTCAGTTGGATCTTAAAAATGCATAACCTCCGATTTAAAAAATAATAATACCACGGACGAAGAACATATCAATCTATTTGTTCCTTAATTTTCGTTTCTGCCCTTCCATTATGTGAATCAAGAAATAATTCCCAAAAATGGGTAACAATTGCATCGAATAGAGAAAATCGAGTGCACCTTTTTATGTTAGGGCGTGTTTGAGTTGAATATTTTTTCTTGAAAACGTAAAAAGCAAAAGTATTTGATACATCATCTCGCTTCAGATTCTATCATTTTTATATATCAAAGCTACAGGTTGACTTTATAACATCGAAAATTCACAGTACTAAAAAAATGAAATATATGGGTCAAGTGAAATACCTTTCTAATGAATCACAAAAACAGAGTAGGTGTGTCCGAATACCAAATTTTTACTAAAAGTACTTGACGACAGACTTTTAAGTTGGATCTTAAAAATGCATATCTCCGAAAAAACTTCATTTTTTGTGGGTGATATCTAGGGTTTATAGTCTTCAACCACTGAAAATGTTTAGTCTGCCCTTCCACGAAATATTGAATTAGAATTTTTTTAAATGTTTATGAATTATTCGAAAATTCCACCTGACAACCGATCAGACAATAGTTTTAAGTTGACTGAATGCAGACAAGTACATTAACTGATGCTCATAAGCTAGTAGATACATTTGTCTTTTAAAATACAACTGGCATATAAGGATCGTAATGGTGCTATGTGGATAAATTTGTCGGTTTTCAAGAGCTAAATTGTCAGCGCGTCATCCCTACAATGGCTTCCATTTTTACGATTGTAAAAATGAACTGGCGTAATGGGGAGATAATTTTGACGAAGTAGAAACCTGACTGAGTAATGTCACTCAATCTTTTCAACCAAATTTACAAATAAATTCAGAAACACTACAAAATTCATCATGTGAAAAATTTTTAGGTGTTAAAATTGACAGCACACTTAGCTGGACAAATCAAAATTGATCAAATCTGTGCTAGCATTTCATCAAGAATATACCTTCTTTCTAAATTAAAGAAATTTTTAGATATTAATGCCAGGAAAGCATATTATAATTGGTATATTCTGCCGCTCATCGATTACTGCTGTATTGTTTGGGGAGAATGTAAAAATGAAGGGATAATAAGAATATTAAAACTTCAAAAAAGAGCAGCAAGATCAATTCTTGATGCAGACCCTTTATCCCCATCAGCCCCCTTATTTAAAGAACTTGGATGGATGACAGTAGAAAATAGAATAAAATACCACAAATATTTACTGCTATATAAATGTATGTGGAAAGAAGCACCACAGTACCTACTTCAAAAGTTTCAACTTATATCTGTTAATAATCATTATGCTTTAAGGGGTGTTACTCAAGATAATTTGAAAGTGCCTAAGCCAAACACTGAACTGTTTAAAAAATCTTTTGCTTATTCTGGATCAGTTTTATGGAACGGACTACCATATGAAATCCGTAAAGTGCAAAATATTTTTGTTTTAAACAAATTATAAAACGATAATTGAGGCAGTCCCAATATTCAGTCTTGAAATGATTGCAACTATTACTTTTTTTAGAATGTATGATTTTGATTTGTATATAATATCTATTTACTACATGCACTCTGTAACTGTTTTATGTTCTAATGGTACATGTACACTGAACTATCATGACTATACGATTGTGAACTGACTATGTGTTAATATGTTGTATGTTTGCTATTTTTCTCTTATTATTTTTTTACTTGTATTGTATATGAGGGCCTCAGGGAAGATTAGTAATTGTAACTAACTGTGTTTACCCTCTTTAAATAAAGAAATTATTATTATTATTATTATTATTATATCATTATTATTATTATTATTATTATTATTATTATTATTACAGTAAAAGGCATACATGTTTTGGCAAATACCCTAGCAGAGAGGGTAAAAAATAGATATCCTTGTGAAAAAACTCTGGTTGGGTGATATTTGAGTGAAACTCATCTGATAAAATAAAAGCCCCTCAATAAAAACACTAACTACTAACCAATCAAAGTTCAGCATACTTATAAAAGAAGTGAATATGTAAAAACAAAGAATGATGGCAATGTCACCTATACCAACTTACCTGGTATAAATAATATCGAATGATGGCAATGCCACCTATACCAACTTACCTGGTATAAATAATATCGAATGATGGCAATACCACCAATACCAACTTACCTGGTATAAATAATATCGAATGATGGCAATGCCACCAATACCAACTTACCTGGTATAAATAATATCGAATGATGGCAATGCCACCAATACTAACTTACCTGGTATAAATAATATCGACCAACATATTTTGACCACAATGCCTGACCATACTGTCCTTTTCCTTTCTTGGCAAACTTTCTGAGGAATCTCTATCAAAAGGCAGCAGAATATATTATATATCATATTGAACATGATAATTTCTAATTTTGATAAGAACAGATATCAATATTCAGAAAAATGCATGAAAGCAAATATAAGAATTTCACATATTATAAAACCGCTACGTCTGAAAATGTATTCCTAATAACTCTCTCTTCCCTTTTCTAACATTAAATAAATGACAGTTATAAGACAGGCAGTATTATTATTCAGAATTGTACTAATTAATTTTATAAGTGAATTCCTCTTTTCTTGTAAAATTTCCCTCCTAATCCTAAGCAATTGCCTCTCTGGAAATACATGTGAAAACATTCTATCGAATATCCTTGTTTTTCCAATGTTTTTCTTACCTCCTCTGAGTCCATTCCTATTTCTACAGCTGTTAAGATAAATTTTTCTCTTAATAGATATGGCATAAATTTCATGATTCTATCCTCAATCTGAAAAATAGTATAAAATTGAGATCTTTTAAATGTAACTGCATGACATTGCAATGTTGTATTTTATTTGACCATAGCAATAACTGATATAGTTTACATCCTATGTCAATGAAAGCACTTTAAATTTACTTCCTATACTATGAATAAAAAGAGTTGTGGGTTTTTTTGTAAGCCTGGCTCGTGAAAGTCAAAGTATTATGCGTGAAAATGGGAAACAAAGTTGTATGGGACACTTGAAATTACAAGCGTTATTATTACAATGATAAGCAGGATACAGGAATCTGACAAAACAATAACCAGAATCCAGGACCGGACTCCCCCAATGAGACCCCATTAGACAGCAATCAAATGACACAAAAAAAAACACGTCTAGAGGTCAACATATGGCCTTCAACGTTGAAAAATTATCTTTACAATATGTCAATTGGCCAGAGTATAAAAAAAGTTGTGAATACATTTATTATATAATATTATAGATCTGCCATATTCACCAAAATTCTGTAAATGACATTAAACTGCTTCGCTGAGCGCAGCTGGATACCCCCGCAGAGGTCCAACCCTGAACAGTTGGGGCAAAAATGGACTTTGGATTGTAATTAAATATTTAGATATTATAGGTTTCTGAATAAATGTAGTCAAAGAACTTGAAATTGGTTATATGAATTGAATTTATATTCAATTAAAGATTTCTTGCTGTTGTGCAATACACTGTGCTGTTGCGCAATACTTAGTAAATCTGTTGTCAGACTATAAACAAATAAAGTTCAATTAATTCTCAATGTCATATTAGAAATTTATGAAAATGTAAAGGGAGCTTACATCAATAGATATAAACAATTCACCAAAGTTTCATGAGAATTGCTGACAGCATTTTTGAGTTATTGTCCGAAAACTGGAAAATCACCCCTTTTTTAATGAATAAAACCCCATTACTCAGAAATGATAAATGAAAAATTTATAAAATTCGAAACGGAGCTTACATCAATAGATATAAACAATTCACCAAAGTTTCATAAGAACTGCTGAACTCTGAAACGTAAAATTTAAAATATATAAAAATCGAAAGGGAGCTCATGTCAATAGATATAAACAATTCACCACAATTTCTTGCAAGTTGGTGAAAGCATTCTTGAGTTATTGTCTGAAAACCGGAAAATCCCCCTTTTTTTAATGAATAAAACCCCATAACTCGGAAACGTAAAATCAAAAATTTATAAAATACGACGTCAATAGATATAAACAATTCACCAAAGTTTAAGCAAATTGGTTAAAGCGTTTTTGAGTTAATGTCCGACATGTTGACTTCGGACGGACAGAGGTATACCATAATACGTCCCGTAAACGGGCGTATAAAAACCAGCTGAAATATGAACCATTGACAAGGTTCTTGATTCCAATACATTTTCATATCATTGAAGGCTACATAATGATATCTGAATAAACTGAACTTGGAAGGCTACATTGATATCTGAATAAACTGAACTTGAAGGCTACATTGATATCTTAATAAACTATTTACTTGTCTATTTTATACTACAAAATTGTAATGTTTTGATGCTGTTTTTTAGTAATTCATTAAGTTTAAGAGAATATTTACCCTTTCCAAATCTGCCTCATTTTCACAATTACTAAGAAAGTTAATTTCATCTGTCACATTGCCATCAGACACCATGACTACTCTTACACCATGAGTTCTCCCATTAATTGTGCACTTCTTTGCTGCAAAATAAATTGACAAAAATATAAATAGTCCAGAAAAGTAATGTTACTGAAGTTGTGTAAATATCATAAAGCAAATTTAAAACATAAAAATTATAATGTGCAATATCTTGTAATAATGTAAGTACATTTTCTCTGACAAAAAAAGTTCCTTGAAATTTAAAAGATTTTTGTCAATGAATAATTTTTAGCAATCATGTAAAATCAACTTTGTTAACGCAAGTAATAATAATGTGTTCCTAATATTTCTTCCAAACCTTTCATTATGTTCATCATGTCCTTTTTGAGTCTACACTGAAGCTGTAAATTTTCAGTTTACTTGAAACTTTAGAATTATTTAACAACCATCAATGCTGACATATCATTCCTTCCCAAAATGTACCAATGAGAAACGTTGGTAGCAATATAAATAGTGAATTTATTCCAAATACTGTTTTCTAGGATTTTAAGCATTGCTTCATGCATATATCTGGAATTCGTTAACTTCAATCAAAAAATTTTGTTTTAATAACTAAATTCTTCAAGTCTATGCACTTAAACCATATTTTTGAAGGCTGTACTGTGACCAATAGTTGCTTACATCTATGTCATATGGTCTCAGGTGGATAACTGTCTTGTCGGCAATCATAGGACATCTTCTTATTTTAAAAAGAAGAATTATTACTACTCTAACTTGAGAGTCTCCTCATGGGGTTTTTGATTATGTGATTACTTGGCTGTTTTTATAGTGATTATTTGATTACCAGACAAAATATTTCATGATTATTTGATTATTTGATCATCTAGGACTGTATTTTTGATTTTTTGATTATCTAGTTTAAAAAAATAATTAATGATTATGTGATTATATTGGCAAAAAATTGATGATTACTATGAAAGTACTTTTATTTGTGGGTATCAATTTTCGTGGTTTTTGAAAAAGTTGCATGTTTGAGGGTTCTTAAATTTGTGGATTTTAGTTTTCTGAAGAAAAAAAATTGAGTGAAGAATATGAAGTCATCACTAACGAAGATTTTTGTAAAAACATATGTTGTTTTATAATGATTTGTGGGAGATTGAAAAATAAGGTGTTCATTTTTACTTACTTGTTCGTCTTTCATTACTGACAACATTCATCAATATTTAAATCAAATAATAACTTTCGGAAATAAGCCGATTCATCTATGGTAGCAAATATTCTCGATGGAAGGAAATTGCAAAGTAATCATTTTAATATTTGCACACAAGTAATCAGAAGCGATGACACTACAATATATAATTAACCCGAGATCGAATGGTCAACAGATTAACGATCATCAAAGGTGTTAATTGAGCCATAAACATGTCACTCAAAAGAAAAGGTTACATACAAAATTTCCACAAATGTACTTTTAAATTTACAATTAAATGTTGTGAAATTAAAATGAAAGCTCAATATCAATTTTGTTTTTCATACGAAAATTATGAAGAGATAAAATGAACACTTCATCATCCCACACTATAATCAGAAGTCTGACTTTCTTAATTTTATATGAAAAATAAAAAGTGAAAAGTCGTACAGTTTATATATTTTTTAAAGATTAAATTGTTAAAATCTATCTGAAGATGTACATGTATAAATAGTTCATATTGCTTTTGCTGATATTCGATGTATTCTTTAGATTATATGCCAGGCCTGCCAACTATCCCGATTTTGGCAGTATCATCCTGATTTTCATGCCTCTACCCCAATCCCTATATTTGGATCGTAAAACAAGTCAAAATCCTGATTTTCACAAAATATACCGGAAAAAATTATTGGTTACAGATTTTGAAGTTTTTCTGATAAATTTCTATAAATCTTTTATTTTTTACCTGACTACATATTCATGACAAGTTTACAACCCTATGCTTATCAATGGTCACAACAGGTATCATAATTTGTTGTTATATGTAATCTGCTTATCTGATTGGTAATAACAATCCTCAAAATTAATTAATTTGTAAACAGAATCGGTCAGTCGACATTTCAAGTTTAATCAATTTATCACACGATCACAATTTGCAACGTTTACCGTAGTTTCATGACAAAATCGTAATTAACTGAAAGAGGAAAACTGTAATGAACTCATTAGAAAACAGCGTTTATCTTGAAATCTGTTAAAATTTTTAAAATCAGACATGTTTCTGTCCAGTTCTAATTTAAAATCGACGCCATTTCAGGCCTCTACAGTAACTTTTTTTTTAACTTGCCCAATAGGACAAGTACATACCAAAACTTACTTGTCCGAATGCAATTGTAACTTGTCCGAAAAAAAACCCTTTATATTAACCTTTTTTTCGTTTTAGGTTGATTCAATGAACAAAATGAATTAAAACATTGGAACAGAATTTGTTTATATCTCTTGATATCCTTTTCAAAAATATGAGTCAAGAACAACTGAATCTAGTCAATGGTTTACTTTTATAAATTTTGACTTGGATGGAGAGTTGTCTCATTGGCACTCATACCACATCTTCTTATATCTATGTCTAGTCACAGGACTAAGGTTCTAGTTTTCATCAAAGTCAAAGTCTCATCAGACTTTGCACATCAGGCACAGTCTGGTATGCCTGTCAGTCTACACTCATTTGCCATGATTTGGTTTGTATCCTGGTCTTTTATGTTGATAAAATATTGATTATTATGATCAATGTCTTACTACAATCAGCTTTGTTTTGAATATATTGAAATGTTTTTTCAAACACAATCAAATATTGTTTGTTTAAATATTATCATATCTTATTTTCTGAATTCTTGGTCAATAATTTCTTCATTTTTATTTTTTTGTTAAATATTTTTGTTAAATAAAATTTATCATATTTTTGTAATAAAGCAACAGTATAACGTAGGGCCATAGTAGCCTATCGACAAAGCATTGGATTGTTTCAGGATGCCAGGCTAACAAAGGTACGGCTGGAGTGGTAAAAGTCTTGAAATGTCTCCAACAGTGCTGAACTGTCTATTAAACATGGAGCCAATCATTTCCGTACCAGTGCCGAACTGTCTTGTTACCTTATTTACAAAGCGCACACCGCTGATTTCGATTGGTAAGACTGGTTTCCGAGAATAAATATGCCTTTTATCTGTTATAAAGTATCTGACAAAGAACCAGTTTTAAATTATTGATCGCAAGTAAACATGTGAAATTAATATTTGTTTTTATCTTCTTTTCTTGTTTTTTGTTTTTTACTCTGATCATCAAAGTTGGATTTAATTTATTTTCTACAGAATGATTTTACTTGTCCCGTCAGACAAGCTTGATCAGGCTTTTACTTGTCCGACCTTTTTTTCCTTTGGTACCGGACCATTGGACAAGCGTTATTGTCGAGCCCTGCATTTTGTATTCACTTTACTGTGTTTAAGCCTCCGCCAGTAAGATCAACTCTGAACACAAAGAAAGATAACTCAAATTTTATCCATTTTCTCATTAATACTGATAGACTAACTCAAAACCTGTCTTCATCTTTCTAACTTTAGGATATTTAGGTTTTTTTAGTCATGGTGCAAAAATAAGAAGGTCTTTGGAGGGGGAAAAGAAGGGGAAGGAGGGGTCTTCACTTTGTATCCTTTATTTTTTTAGGCCTTTTTTTCTCTATTCTTTAGTTATTTTGCCAATTAATAAGTACAAGAATCATGCAAATAAAAGAAATCAAGGCTTATTAGCTCATCATCAGTATACCAAAAGAAAAAAGAAGAGATAAGAGACTATTTCAAGAGTAAAAAACAGTGCACACAGAAACGCCGCAAAAATTGTAACCCTTAAAAATCTAAAAGCGCACTAAATCCCCCATGGAGATTTTCAAAAGTTGGCAGGTCTGATATGCCTGTATCCATGTAGTTACATGGAGATTTTGCAGGTCTTGAATCGGACTGCAGTTATTATAGTTCTTTGGACACTTAAATTAGTGGATAAAGACATCCACGAAAACCACGAAAATTGGTATTCCATGAATAACAGTACTTTCACAGTATGTGATTATATTGGCAAAAAATTTGTGATTATGTGATTATATTGACAAAAAAATTGTGATAATGTGATTACTTGGACACCCCCATGAGGGGCCTAACTTGAGGCTGTTGATTTGAGTAAAGGGAGACACCTTTTTAAATTTGGTATGTGTTTGTAATAGTCATTTTCATGAATGCAATTTTTAAAGCACTCATATGCAACAGTGGAAAAACTATCTGATTTTTTTAAATGAAAATGAATAATGAACACAAACAAAACACTGATTTTCAAGAGTTATGTCCCTTATTAAAAGGACTGTGTTTTTTATTTGGGATCAATAACACATACCTTTCTTATGGCAATAACAAAGTACACCCAGCAAGGCACTCCATAGATTTGTTCTACCAGCACATACATCTATATTATCTGTTCAAAGAAATTTTATCATAAGAATTAAATAAACAACAAAAAGCATGACACAAAGATTTATAATTGATAGTTATATTATTCATTTGTTTATTTATTTTATATTTTTAACAAAGTATGACTGAATTTCTACTTCGACTTTTAGAATTACTTTTCAGGATATTACATAAATTATCTAATTGCCCATTCTTATAGAATAGAAAGCTATTTGTTATTCCAATGAAAATGATGACATATGGAGGGTGGAGCATTCACAATAGGAAGATTATTCCTGTCACAATCTAATGTTTGTACCAATTCAGTAATCACATATTCAGTAGGTGTCAGTATATTTGCTTGTTTTGAATGTTGAAAACAGAACTTCCACAATTACTGATGACATTTATCAGAACTTGTACAGGTTCATCATATCAATCTACAATTCTAGCTAATATAGCTTGATTAAGCTATATACTCACAATCTCGCTAGATTTATTATCTCCCTTGGCGATTTTTCAATGTAATTTCTGTTTCTTGCTTGTTATTTGCAAGTGTAGTTTGAAACTTTGCAGGCATGATAAGGAAGTACTGCAGAATATGATTATGCATTATTTTTTTTTACTTTTACTGTAACAAAAAGAGAGGTGAAAGATACCAAATGGACATTCAAGCTCATAAGTAGAAATAATCCTCTAAAAAACACAATAAATTTGAAAAAAATACAAATGATAGAATATTTAGTATGTTTGTTCATTATGTCTGAAAAGGTTTAGACTGAATACCAAAAATTAATGCAGCAAATTAAATTTCCTTTTTCTTTTACAAAAGCAAACTAATATAGCTCAATCAAGCTATATAAGCTAGAGCTGTAGAATTTCAGAACCTGTTGTACAGTGTCCTTGGTATTTATTTAAATCATGAAATGTATAATCATTATATATTTTAAAAAAAAAAGATAAAAAATAACAGGGACACTTTATAGGTCAAATATCTTTAGACTATGATTCCTAACTTCTCTGACCATGTTAGCAATAATTTCAAACTACACACAGCATGAAGTGAATACACAATTTTTCACCTACCTAAACATTCTCTTATGAGTGAGTAATCATTTGTAAACTCATGTAATATACCAGCGTGTGATCCAAACTCAAAAACACCAACCATCTCTTCTAAGTTATACTCAGTTGCCGTTTCTATTTCTGTAAAAAACAACAACATATGGTTGCTCACAAGTGTCAAGAATGATGTAAAAAGAGTGCAAATATATCTTTTACCAGATAAAAGTCATCTCTGTTAAAAAATGGTCATCCAATTCAGTTTTCTGATTTTAAAAGTCGTCTAAAGTTTTGATGAGTTGAAATCTTCATCAAAATTAATGTAGCATACGATATTGGATGTACAAATACAAATGAAAAGAAGCCTGATGTTTCAATATTTTTAAAGGAGATGTGGTATAATTGCATATGAGACAGATATAAACTAGAGACTAAATAATGTTGTAATACACTAAAGTTCATCGTAGTTGTTCATCAATGATCACAGGCCATTCCATAAAGAAACACATGCAACATTACTTTATGCCTAAGCATTATGACTTGGATTCCTTAAGAGAGAAAAAATAAGAGAGATATATCTCACAACTGATTAAGTTTCAGAAAACTGTTCATGCAAAAAGAAACTGCTTTCAATTTACACAATTGCACTTCTTTTCATCATATCCAATTTTCAATTATTTTTTTTGCATGGTAAGTCTCTATCTCAGCAGAGTATTGATTACATTCAACTTTGGAGATTGTTTTCCATTTAATTTCGTAATTTTTAATCTACAAAAAATTCATTTTAAAAGCAGCAATAACCCTAGTCAGTGGTTGTGTTTAGTTATATTTTTATGGTGTTTGTTTTTGGCATTTAGGGAATTTTGTTTTAATGACTGATCATTGATACTGTGGATTCATTATTATTCGTTGGGTACCAATTTTCATGGATTTCGTGGGTACAGGTAAACCACGAATTTAAATGTTCAACGAATTACACATATTCTATAAGGTTGTGTGCATACTTTGGCAAATCCAAGAAATCAAAAATCAACGAAAATGCAAGTTATTCTCAATCCACGAAAATTGGTACCCACGAAAATAAATGAATCAACAGTACTCTCTTTAAAATTTATGTAGTATTAAGGTGATTTACAGATTGACATATTGTACAGACACTTGTCATTTATTGAATTCCATATACTGACTTATATGTCTGTTGTCTTGTTGGGTTTCTGTCTCATTGACAACTTTGCCTTTTAACAATACAGTCCAAACAGCTATAAAGGTCGCTTCTATTAAGCAAAAACCTGTCTTGTAAGAGCATCCTCTTCTTGTTCCGCTGTAATAATACCTTCACATTTTGAACCTTATTTAAAAGATCACCTCTCTGATAAGGTCAAATTTCCATGATCCCAAGAGTGACCTTTACATACAGGTTTGACAGTATGTCTTCAAAACACTTCATATTATCTTAAATACTTCTACCTACAGCATGTTATATTCAGTATTTTATTAAAATTTACATAAAAACAAGGAATTATTTGAATCTGGAATAATTTTGAATTCTGGAAAATTGATAAGAAATGTATGATGAAAACTAACCCAACTAAATAGGGTTAGCCATGCGTGCATTGGTAAGGTTAATTTTAATTTCACTAATATTTCAGTATGAACCAAGGAGGTTATATGAGAAGGAGAGAGGACGAAAGACGCTAATTACATATAAAATGTTACCGCCTTTTCTGTAAGTGGGTGTTTATTAGTTGAGATCCATTCGGTCGCAGAGGAAGACTTGTCCTAGTTACACATCCGAGTAAGAACGGAAACACCTGAAGTGTTATAAACCAACCAAGATTTCAGAAAATAAGCCCGAGATCATGGCTCTCGACAGTAACAGTAATTTATCTAGAAATATTCTGCATCTACAAGACGAACGACTCAACCGACCTGAATTGCTTTGTAAAAGATGTAAAATTTAAAGCATAAAATATTTATAAAAATGTGCAGGATGTAAAAGAATAGACACGCTTTCCTTTAGTGGTATCTTTAATTACAAATTGACGTATTTCCCATTTTTGTTTATAAATATTACAACCGTGCATGGCATGAAAAGAGTATTGAGTAAGAAGAAATCTACACATACCATGTGTATTGTCGGGAAAAAAATCACATATAGAGAGGTACCAATCTACATGCCTGGTAATCCTAGTATTAATGTACAAAATCATGCATGTGTTAATTTCCTGACATTTTACCGTTTAAGAAAATGAAGTACTGGTTTTAACAAAATCTTAATTAAACTCAGTGTATAACAAGGTATTGATTTTGAGTGCTCACGTTGAGAATTTTCAAAAATAAAAATGGTTATCATATTTCTTTATTTTTCTTATTTTTGTTTTTGTTCCTTTGCTTTCAATGAGAGCCCGTCAATTTAAAGGGAACCAAAATTAAAATATTGGAAAATACGATGAACCGATATAAAAACATTTAATTTTGCACAGAAATGATTTTAATTAGAAATAAAATGCTTCGCTGAGCGCAGCCTGATACAACCGAAGAGGTCGATCCCTGAACAGTTGGGGCAAGTTTGGACACAATATTTTAGCTTGATACTGTCTGAATTTGGATTGTGATCAAATTTTTGACATAATATAGGTTTCTGACACAAAATAAATGTGGTCAAAGATCTTAAAAATCTATTGCGCAATACTTTCAATTAAAGATTTCTTCTTGAAACTTTTCAAAAAATTTGAAATTTCAAAAATTTTGAAGAAAAAAAATTGGGAAAAAAATCCCCCCAATCTTTTTGACCCTTGGTATGGAACCTTGTAGTACAATTTTAGAGAGGTCCATACACTGAAACTTAAGTTATTGTCTGGAAACTAGAAAAATGCTTGTTTTTGGCCCCTTTTTTGCCCCTAATTCCTGCATGTTTGGGGCAATTACCCCCAAACTCAATCCCAGCCTTCCCATTGTGATATGGAACCGTGTGGTACAATTTCAGTGAGATCCATACACTTACACACAAGTTATTGTCTGGAAACTACAAAAATGCTTGTTTTTGGCCCGTTATTCCTAAACTATTGGTACCATAACCTCCAAAATTAATCCCAACCTTCCTTTTGTAGTATTGAACCTTCTTGTAAAATTTCATAGAGATCCATTCACCTAAACAAAAGTTATTGTCCGGAAACCAAATGTGTATTCAGACGACAACGCCGCCGACGACAACATCATAGCATTAGATGAACCCCAAAAAAATTTTTGAGGTCGTAAAAAAAACTGCCATATCCTGATGTCTACCGCATTCCATCCGGAAAAAGACTGAAACTTTTTGGTAGTTCTTGGATAAATTCCTCTGTTTCAATTAAATTAATGCGCTCCAGCAACCGGTCACTTTAACAAAAGTACCTCACATATTCCTTTCAAGGATATAACCTACCGTTTCCCATTTTCAGGAGCCAACATAGGACGTGAAAATCTAAGCGCAACGAGAAACAAACTTTACGCTGGCTCTCGATAAATTTCTCTTCCTTTCAGTTACAAATATTAGCTCCGGTCGCAACCAGTCACTGTAACAAAAGTACTTCACATATTCCTCTATTTTCTATGATATCATGTGCAGCGCCATACAGGTGAAGCGAAAATCTTTGTTTAAAGCAAGGTGGGGTTCAATAGAAATTGCATTTTCAAATTTCTTTAAACCCTCATAACTTTGTCATTTCTTAGTCGATTATCACCGAAATTAGACGATATACTTTCGAATTTTGCATCAAATGATATTGCACAATAAAAACACGTTTAGACTGATTTGTTACTATAATTACACCTGTATTTTATGACCCAGTCACCGATTACAATCATGTGACATTAGCGATTAACAACTAAATAGGGTTAGCCATGCGTGCATTGGTAAGGTTAATTTTAATTTCACTAATATTTCAGTATGAACCAAGGAGGTTATATGAGAAGGAGAGAGGACGAAAGACGCTAATTACATATAAAATGTTACCGCCTTTTCTGTAAGTGGGTGTTTATTAGTTGAGATCCATTCGGTCGCAGAGGGAGACTTGTCCTAGTTACACATCCGAGTAAGAACGGAAACACCTGAAGTGTTATAAACCAACCAAGATTTCAGAAAATAAGCCCGAGATCATGGCTCTCGACAGTAACAGTAATTTATCTAGAAATATTCTGCATCTACAAGACGAACGACTCAACCGACCTGAATTGCTTTGTAAAAGATGTAAAATTTAAAGCATAAAATATTTATAAAAATGTGCAGGATGTAAAAGAATAGACACGCTTTCCTTTAGTGGTATCTTTAATTACAAATTGACGTATTTTCCATTTTTGTTTATAAATATTACAACCGTGCATGGCATGAAAAGAGTATTGAGTAAGAAGAAATCTACACATACCATGTGTATTGTCGGGAAAAAAATCACATATAGAGAGGTACCAATCTACATGCCTGGTAATCCTAGTATTAATGTACAAAATCATGCATGTGTTAATTTCCTGACATTTTACCGTTTAAGAAAATGAAGTACTGGTTTTAACAAAATCTTAATTAAACTCAGTGTATAACAAGGTATTGATTTTGAGTGCTCACGTTGAGAATTTTCAAAAATAAAAATGGTTATCATATTTCTTTATTTTTCTTATTTTTGTTTTTGTTCCTTTGCTTTCAATGAGAGCCGGTCAATTTAAAGGGAACCAAAATTAAAATATTGGAAAATACGATGAACCGATATAAAAACATTTAATTTTGCACAGAAATGATTTTAATTAGAAATAAAATGCTTCGCTGAGCGCAGCCTGATACAACCGCAGAGGTCGATCCCTGAACAGTTGGGGCAAGTTTGGACACAATATTTTAGCTTGATACTGTCTGAATTTGGATTGTGATCAAATTTTTGACTTAATATAGGTTTCTGACACAAATTAAATGTGGTCAAAGATCTTAAAAATCTATTGCGCAATACTTTCAATTAAAGATTTCTTCTTGAAACTTTTCAAAAAATTTGAAATTTCAAAAATTTTGAAGAAAAAAATTGGGAAAAAAATCCCCCCAATCTTTTTGACCCTTGGTATGGAACCTTGTAGTACAATTTTAGAGAGGTCCATACACTGAAACTTAAGTTATTGTCTGGAAACTAGAAAAATGCTTGTTTTTGGCCCCTTTTTTGCCCCTAATTCCTGCATGTTTGGGGCAATTACCCCCAAACTCAATCCCAGCCTTCCCATTGTGATATGGAACCGTGTGGTACAATTTCAGTGAGATCCATACACTTACACACAAGTTATTGTCTGGAAATTACAAAAATGCTTGTTTTTGGCCCGTTATTCCTAAACTATTGGTACCATAACCTCCAAAATTAATCCCAACCTTCCTTTTGTAGTATTGAACCTTCTTGTAAAATTTCATAGAGATCCATTCACCTAAACAAAAGTTATTGTCCGGAAACCAAATGTGTATTCAGACGACAACGCCGCCGACGACAACATCATAGCATTATATGAACCCAAAAAAATTTTTTGAGGTCGTAAAAAAAACTGCCATATCCTGATGTCTACAGCATTCCATCCGGAAAAAGACTGAAACTTTTTGGTAGTTCTTGGATAAATTCCTCTGTTTCAATAAAATGAATGCGCTCCAGCAACCGGTCACTTTAACAAAAGTACCTCACATATTCCTTTCAAGGATATAACCTACCGTTTCCCATTTTCAGGAGCCAACATAGGACGTGAAAATCTAAGCGCAACGAGAAACAAACTTTACGCTGGCTCTCGATAAATTTCTCTTCCTTTCAGTTACAAATATTAGCTCCGGTCGCAACCAGTCACTGTAACAAAAGTACTTCACATATTCCTCTATTTTCTATGATATCATGCGCCATACAGGTGAAGCGAAAATCTTTGTTTAAAGCAAGGTGGGGTTCAATAGAAATTGCATTTTCAAATTTCTTTAAACCCTCATAACTTTGTCATTTCTTAGTCGATTATCACCGAAATTAGACGATATACTTTCGAATTTTGCATCAAATGATATTGCACAATAAAAACACGTTTAGACTGATTTGTTACTATAATTACACCTGTATTTTATGACCCAGTCACCGATTACAATCATGTGACATTAGCGATTCTCCTTATCACACGTACCGTTCGCGTTAACAGCCTGGTACATAAGAGGGACATATCAAGTGGGTGATAAACATGTAGGTTTCTTTATATTGTTATCATTTTCCTCTGATCAAATTGTTATCCTGGGGATGCTAATCTTATAGCAAGCAGAGTGTTCACTCTCCTACTCATATAACCTCCTTGGTTTGAACTAACCCCCCCCCCCTCCTCCTTTGAGCCATGCATGCATGGCTAGCCCTATTTATTTGGGTTAGTTTTATACAGAATCATACATCATACATTTCTTATCAATTTTCCAAAATTCAAAATTATTCCAGGTTCAAATAATTCCTTGTTTAAAGCTATCTTACCATCTAAGAATTCATTAACAAATTTTCTCGTTTCTAACAAACCACCAGGTCCAGTACTATAAGATGTATCTAACAGCAATAATGTATATAATCCTTTGGGTAACTGATCATTCTTTTTACTGTCCACTAAAAATAAAGATGCATATTTAAAAATAGAAAAATAGTTATTTGTATCATGCATATTATATCATAATTATTAGAACAGTTTTAATATCAACATATAAGAGTCAACTGAAAACAAAGTGTACTCAAATCAAAGTTAACAATTTTGTGTATTAAACATGTGTCTCCTCAATAAAGATGAATTACACTACTTTAACATTCTGCATTCAATGAGAAGGATGTTCAAGTAAATATCTTGGAATTATCATCTTTACTTTTTATTTCATTTTTTAAATTCAAGATAATAAATTATCTCCCCTTTATTTACCAATTCCCCTGGTGCTTTTATCTGGTCCATTAATATTGTAAAAGAAATTTAATTAATCAGTCCTTTCAAACTTGTACAATAATTTTATTAATTAATAAATTAGATAACCTAATCTGGACATTTTAGTGAAGCCATTTATAAATAAACATTTCACCAATGTTAACATATTTGACTCAAAACGACCATTTTACACTATGTTTTTGGCAATAGTTGTGTATTAGATGTCAGCCATACTTTAGATGTCAACCATTCTTTTCCACTAACTATACGTCTTTTCTTCAAACAAATACTGTAAACCGACTTATTTTTATTTCGCGAATAGTTCTTTCTGGACCATGACTTGAAGTAGGAATTTAGTTTCGCTATTTTAAAATTACTGGATGTATTCAAATAAGTGAAGATCCAAGTAACACATGTTAGTGACAATTTATTTTTGCATTATTTTTCTAACTGCGTAAGTCAGGAAAAATAAATCGCTCGGGAAAACTAGTTGGTTTAAGGTACATTACACTTACATGCTGCTACCTTGTATATAAATTCTTTAACATTAGGGTCGGTGATTATAAATCCTAGTGATTTCAGATAATCTTTGCCATCATTGAATTTAATCTGGTTATAAGGTACCATTACTGGTTTATAGTCAGGTACAGTGTGAGGGTATGTCACTGAAAGTAAAAAAAAATTCTGATAAAATATATTCTTACAAATGTTAATATATATTTTTACACATGAACTCTAAATAAATTGAGTGAAGAAGCAAAATAAATCATCTTTTTAAAATTTTTGAGTAATTGAGGTGTTAAAACTCAGGAGAACGTCTAATGGTAAAATACATGCTTTTTCTAGGACACAGATGATGCCCCCCGCTTGAATATAAAGTTATAAAGGTACATACTCAAGAACGGTAAATGTGACACTACCCAAATTTGTACTTGATCTGAGTTTTATGGTAATTAGCATTGTGTATAAGTTTGATAACATTTGGTTGAGGCAAACTTAAGTTAGAGAACAGAAACCAATTTTGGGACGTACGGAGGGACGTACAGACGGACAAGGGTAAAACTTAATTCCCCCTCAGCTACGGCTAGGGCATAAAAATTATCTTTGATAGTTTGTACACTACTTTTAAAACTTGAATATAAGAACTTTTATAGACTGATTCTTGACCTTGAAAATATATAAAGATTAAGCTCTTCTAATTGTCAAGCAATTATTGACAGTTGACGAAGATTGGAAGCATCATACTGGATCTTTTTAATGCCTTCCATCTTATATCTTCAAACTCATGATCTTTGACATTTCCAATGAAATTAATAGAGTTCAAAATCATTCTCAGTGAAGCAAATGTATGATAATCTGATTCAAGGCTGCACCTCTTAAATTCATAAAATATTTGTTAAAGGGACAGACATGAAGATGAATAGATTCTGGCGCTAACTATATATCCCTTCCACAACTCTTTTGCAAGGGGACATTTAAAATGACAAGGTTAAAAAGAATCAAATCTACATCTTCTATTAAATGACCTAAATTCATTACCTGAAAGTTTACTTTCTACTGTCATAGTAATATCAGTGTCCTCCTCAGATTCCTCACCGAGATCTACTGTATCATTATTTTGTAAAACATAGCTACTCGAGGCGCCATTCAACCTTTCATCTCTACTGGTTCCTGTTGCCCCATTTTTCTGTGATAAATTAGCATTAAATAATGATTCTTGGACTGGTACTCTATGCTGATCTGTTTCTATACTGTTTTGCCTTTGCACATTGGGGACAGGTGATGTCCTGCCATTCCCGCCACTTCCTGGGATGTTATTTTGTTTAGGCTCTGTTGCTGACATATGGTTTGGTAGAGTTTTTGCTTTTCGAATTTCTGACTCAGAGGAACTGATTTCAGAAGTCAAATTTGCTGTTTCTGTTTTTGGAGGTAATGCGTTATGATGCTGTTTTCTTCTGTCCTTTTTTAGCCTAAAACAGATCATTGCACATATTTTTGTACTACAACCTAATTAAATTATGAATCTTTGATGTGTGCTTTCAAATCTTGCTAGAATTCATGTATCTTTCTATTTAAAACATGTTAAACAAGCAATATTTCAATTTTTACTCATAGTTTTTATACAATACTCATGATTCTCACTAAGGAAAGTCCATAAGTCATGGACTCATCAAAATCTGTCACAGTCTGGACTCATCATTTTCAAAACTGGTGAGTACAAATATCCATAAAGATTGCAAAATGTTGTATCAACTGAGCAAATATACAAAAATATTTTGTCATCATGTTATAGCAAAAGAATAAATATAATCTAAGTTTGATGTCATTTCTTGCTCTATTTTGTTTTTGAGATTAAAATATAAAATTATATAGCAATACATTTTTTCTTCTTTTTACTGTTGGACTCGCCATGGTAAAAACTTAACAGTCCCTGGATCCGTCTTCAAATTCCATAGTGAGAACCCTAAATACTGTGGATTCATACTTAAAATGGGGGTATTTAATTTTGTTGATTTTGTAGGCAGATATGATACAAATTTAAGTTTTCAACAAAGTGTTAATTTCATATAGTGTGTAAGATGAATTGTTAAAACAACAAAATCAAGTATCAAAGAAAATACAAATTAATTTATCCTCAATCCACTAAAATATGGGATTCAGAAAAAACAATGATGTAGAAATAGAAATCAGAATGAATGGTCTATGAACGAAATGATTTAATATCTGCATGCTGCTTTTCTTTAGAATGTGTTGATGTTTGACAGTCTCCATTACAATAGACACTTAATTACTGTAAAAAAATGACTGCAAATGTAAAATCAGAAATTTTGCAACGTCTTTATTATTGCAATAATTGTGACAGGATAGGTTTAGCAAATAAAAAAAATTGCATTCAAAATTTTGATAGCAATATTTGTATATTTTGTATTTGATATTTTTTTAATTTGCAATAATTAGTCTATCATGTTTGTCCATTATGTTCAACAATAAATGCACACAAAAAAAATCTATATTTCCAGTATCTTCTGCACAAAGTTTCATAACTTATGATGCAAACCTGAGAATTTTCAACCCATTCCCATGACTAAAATTTTGTGTTGAGTAACTCATATAGATATACAGTAATAGGTCAATGTCAGAAAAAATATCAACATTTTATTATGAGGCTTAGAAACTGGGGAAATGTGAGGTTAATTAACTCCTTCAACAGTTAATTGCCAAATACACTTGATTTTTTTTTTTACATTGACCTTATATTGTATATATATTGGTTTTATAAAACAGCTATAAAAGTGGTTACAATTATAGTTATGAAGATGTTAACACAAAAATAAAATAGTTTTTCCATCCCTCAATGAACCCCAAACTGTGAAGTAAAGTGACGTGACAAAAATTTGACATTACATAAAATATCACATTGTTTCTATAGTTGGTAGATAAAGACAATAGGAAGTGTTCACATCTTCTAGCCCATGATGCTATATATAACTAGAGGCTCTAAAGAACCTGTGTCAATCACCTGTATCTACAACAATAGCCATTTTGGGGTAAAAATCATCATGCAAGGGCAATTACTCTATAAAGAGTTAACTGACAATTTCAGTCATGTTGACATGTTTATAGATCTTGTTCAGCTGATCATTTTTTGCTTTTAAAAGATTCTATCTGCATTTGTATCTATAACACTTTCCAAGATAATTGGCAAAAACTCAAAAAAATTGTAAAAACATCTTTAAAGGGAAATAACTTGCTTATCATTTTCCTAATAAAAATTTCTCTTTATCTATTATAGTTTTCAAAATAATAGACAAAAATAAAAAAAAATATAAAATTTGACATTTAAGGGCTATAACTCCTATAAGAAGTCATCTTAACAGTTTTGACTTGAATAGGCAGCAGGTAGATCTCTACATTCTCATCAATTCTGCCCCTGTCAGATTTTCTCTATTCATAGCGGTTTTCAAGATAATAGACAAAACTTGCATGTTACCCCTATGTTCTATTTTTAGCCATGTCAGCCATCTTTGTTGACTGGTGGGGTCATCAAACACATTTTTAAAACTAGATACCCCATAATGAATGTGGCAAATTTGGTTTAGTTTGGCCCAGTAGTTTCAGAGGAGAATATTTTTGAAAAAGTTAACTGATGACGACGACTTACGACGGACACCAAGTGATGAGAAAAGCTCACATGGCCTTTTTCGACCAGGTGAGCTAAAAAATATGGGGAGAACACTGATGAAGGTCACGTGGGCGTAAGGGGGGATATTAACATGTGGATCAGGAACTGCTAACCTTTCCAAAATACCTGAGTTTACCCGTGTTTTTAATGGGGTTTGTGTTGCTCAATCTTTAGTTTTCTTTGTGATGCAATCTCATTAAAATCAGCTGTCAGTTTTTGCTACGATACTCACCATCCTAACGTTAGAGGGAGTGTAGCATATCACAACATCCGATTTTAATCAGATTGTTTGTGATGTTTAATAGATTTGTTCTTCTTTTCTTCGTTGTTAGTTTATTGCCAGTTTTTCTTCAACTTATGAGTTTTTAATATGCCCTCGGTATCTTCGGTATCTTTTTTACCTTGGACTTGTGTCTTCCTCTAAAGAATGGTCTGTAATAAGTGTTGCTCTATCAACGTCTGTGTCATCTGAGCTCAAATCAGACTGTGATCTCTTTCTATAACCTACAATGATGATAAAAAAATCATTTTGCTTTATTCTAGTATTTTCAATATTCATCAAACTGTTATTTCAACAAGCCTTTGAATATGACTTTAATTACGTTATTACTATTTCTTTTTAGAATGATTATTTGATGACTTGACTCATATTGGAATGACTGTGTTCACTGTAACTAATGATTTTTTTTATTAATTTTTCACTATCACCATGTTAGCAGAAATTACTAATTGATTATTTGATTATAGCTATGGTATGCTACTATATGATTACCATATTACAAAAAAAAAAAATTTGTAAGGGTTCCGCGGAACCCAGTGTCTCGCCTACTTTTTCTGTTAATCGCAGGCTCAACAAAAATGAGGAAGTAAATCAATAAAAATATTCCACTTGATACTATCTTTTGATTGTAAGAAGCTTCTGTCCAAGTTCGGTAAAAATCCAGGATAGTTTATGAATCTAATAAATGTTTAAAAACTTTAACTGCAGACTGTATGTAATGTTAACTGGAAGAAAACAAAATTTCCTTCTAGATACTAGCATTTGATCATAAACAAGCTTCTGTCCAAGTTTTGTACAAATCCAAAATAGTATAAGAAAGTTATTAAAATTTTAAAAACTTTAACCACAGAGTGAATGTGTTGTTTCCTGGCAGAAAATCCAAGTCCATTTAAAAGTAAAATACAGAAAAAATGGATTTATTTTTTTACAAAATTTCCTTCTAGATACTAGCTTTTGATCATAAACAAGCTTCTGTCCAAGTTTGGTACAAATCCAAAATAGTATAAGAAAGTTATTAAAATTTTAAAAACTTTAACCACAGAGTGAATGTGTTGTTTCCTGGCAGAAAATCTAAGTCCATTTAAAAATAAAATAAGGAAAAAATAGATTTTTTTTTTTACAAAGTTTACTTCTGGATACTATCTTATGATCATAAACAAGCTTCTGTCCAAGTTTGGTAGAAATCCAGGATAGTTTAAGAAAGTTATTAAAATTTCAAAAACTTTAACCACAGAGTGAATGTAATATTTCCCGGCAGAAAAACTAAGTCCATTTATAAGTAAAATACGGAAAAAATGGAATTTTATTTTTACAAAATTTACTTCTGGATACTATCTTATGATCATAAACAAGCTTCTGTCCAAGTTTGGTAGAAATCCAGGATAGTTTAAGAAAGTTATTAGAATTTCAAAAACTTTAACCACAGAGTGAATATTTGTGGACGCCGCCGACGACAACGACGAAGACGACGCCGACGGAATGTAGGATCGCTATGTCTCGCTTTTTCGACTAAAGTCGAAGGCTCGACAAAAATGGCTGATTAAAAATACTCCCACTTATTTCAATTATGCAAGCAAAAATTTTAATCAAGCCTGAATTGCATCTATTGTCTGTGTTGTCAAGGGTTCAGTCCTGTCCCATCCTCTCAACCCTTGGCAGATTAAGCCAACATTTGTGATTACAATGCTGCGCCATGTAACGGTAGACAAAATTCATGCCCATTCCGACTACATCATTCTTGACCAATGGCAGCACTTGAACTCTATTCAGTTTGGAGGTGCAAAAATGGATGTGTCTAGTGTTTTCAAATATTGTGAAGCAAGTACCGAAAATATACATTGACATTCCAGCATTTGCACAAGAAACATACCCAGGCACTTCAATTAGTTGATTAAGAACTTTTAAATTGTCATTACATAATGTCCTATGCTTGGGGGTAAAGACTTGTTGAACAATCAGCACGTGGAAATTGTTTATTTACATTGTCTACATAAACATGTGATCATCACGAAGGCGCTTTTTGATTAGCTGCAGCCAGTTACAACTGCGACCAATGGAAATCATTACCTCTCTATCCGAAATTCTGTCTTAATCTGCTAAGGGTGGTGAGGAGGGGACTGGATCGTAATCCTTGGCTAGCGAAAATGATAAACACTAAGAATTAGGACTTTTTATAAGGGACCTCCTTTTCCAATCAAGCTTGGTTCAAATTATCCCATTAGTTAACAGAACTATAGGTTCCTTAGAGCCTTTAACTAGATATTGGCCATTTTCATCATTCATGTAAGAAAAATATAATCTAGAAACAAATCATTGCTGTTATATAAATATATATTTAGAGTGTGTTCAGGCCAATGAATTATTTTTTCTCTATTTATTATTGTTTTCAAGATAAATACCCAATAACATCAAATTATCATTAAAGGGCAATAACTCATTTTCATTTATTTATTTTTTTTGCTGTAAGAAATTTATGTCTATCAATCATAGTTGCAATATATATCACTAAAATTAGTAAAACAATCATATTATAAGAATATTTACTCCTTTAAGAAATTGATTAGTCATTTCATTGATTTTTAAGATCTTTGCGGATCATCAAAGTGAATGCTATTTTACTACAGTTCCTGTCATAGGCAAGATCATCTAAATTAGTCTAAGATCGTCATTTGAAATTGATAAACTGTATATATACACTTGTCTATTGTTTAATATGGAATGTTGATCTCTATAAGTTTATTGGGTGTTTGTTTCATTTGGTTGCTGTTTCACTGACATATATGCATGTACCTAATTACTTCACATTTTATCTGAATGAAAATGTCACCTCTTATTCTTACTTATATAGCATTTGTCCCCATGTATGCAGCATAGTCAGTTTTTGAAGAGGGTTCCATAAATATCACTCCATTATAGTATTAAAAGATTTTGCAAAGTACTAGTAGTTTCATGGTTAAAAATTTTGGAATTGGCCAATCAGAATAAGACACTGAGATGGTAGCAATTCTTTTTTAAACAAAATTTTTCTTTATAAAAATATACCAAACAGAATTTCAAAAAGTTAAAATTATACTGCAACCATTTGATTTCATTGTAAAATGGAAGATGAAAATGGCAAGTATGCCATAGGGCTCACAATTAAGGTATATACAATTGTGGAACAAGCATGATTTAAAGTATCTTAGTAGCTTGTCTACCCATTCTGTATCTAAAACAGATTCTTTTGAGTATGGGAAAATGCAATGGGGTTGTACTTTGATCATTATAAATGTTTTCCCAATAATAGTATCTTTTTATCTTCCTTACAGAGAAACGCATGTTATACGATTCCGGGAAAGCACTTTAATTCATAAATAATAAGAAATTTGATATAAATATATAATTTTAAGATTTCAAGGGGCAAAAAAACAGAAAATTCATTGTAATTATTTTGATGTCTTGACATTTTTTTTTTAAATTACTTACTGTAAGCAAATACTATGCACTTCTTATTTTAGAATAAGACAGCTTCTTATACATACTTAAAAATATTATGAATATTTCCTTGTTTGAAAAATATTTATAGTTTTGGTATTTTCTTCCCACTTCCTTAAAAGTGGTAAATTTAATATAATTATTTTTAACATTTTTATTTTAACATTTCAAAGGGAAATTTGTGATAAAAATAAGTGATACAATTTTACAACTTTTTAAATATTCTAGTCTACTATTGAAAAAATTAGGGCTAATTGTCTCCTGCACTTTTATAAGTAATATGATTCTTAATTTGGTGAATTCCTCTTATCAATCATTTTAATAATTGTTTATAGATTAGTCAACAAATTTGGAAAGGACAATTGGCCCAGTACCTTAAGCTTCTGCCTCCACATTTATGTAAAAAGTAATATAACAAAAATACCGAATTCCAAGGAAAATTCAAAACGGAAAGTCCTTTATAAAATGGAAAAATCAAAAGCTCAAACACATCAAAGGAATGGAAAACAACTGTCATATTCCTGACTTGGTACAGGCATGTAGAAAATGGTGGATTAAACCTGGTTTTATAGCTAGCTAAACCTTGTAAAGTAACTGGTTTGATACCTTTGTAACCTGGTTTGTGAGAAATAAAGATATAAATATCAGATACACTGACAGCCACTTCTTCTGTGTATTATGTGCAGGTGAAACTATAAGATGCTGACCATGTGACATTATTAGAAGGTCACAAATTAACCCAAATTTCACGGTCTTATGAGTTTCATGATAAAAATCAGTGTTAGATACATATAGATTCTTACATTGGTACCAGTGGATTATCGGATTTATCCATTTGAGATAGTTAAGTTATTGAATCTTAAAGTCCCAGCCTTGGTGAGGACTTTAAAATTGATAATTTAACTATCAAGATTGGATAAATCCGATAATCTACCAGTAACTATGGGAGAATCTGTTTCTCTAATAATTTTCATTTTTGATAAACCAAAATCCCCTAAGAGTGCCTTCCACATTCCATAAAGTTGTCAATTTCTATAACACCTGTTATCACATTTCAATTCATCCAGTGAGCTGATAAAGGTTATGACCCTTAAACTCAGCCAATCATCTTCTGAGATCATCTGCAACCACAGTTGATTAAATTTTTTTATACAATGGGTTCAGAAAGGGTTAAAATGACCAAAGAATTAGAGAAAAAATGATATACAACCTTATACTTGCATAAATGTAAGGATGCATCTTGAAGAGTACAAAATTTTTCCATATCTTGGCATTTAATTTTTTAAAGGAGGGGAGTACTAAATGCAGATTTTTCTGTCCAATTTCTCATAAAAGGTATTTTTTTATCTTGGACGTTGGTCAATAGTTCAAGCATTACCTTAAAATATTGCATTATACCTCAAAAAGACTTATCTTGATTCTATATAAAGAAATCTGAATCCTAATCTTGCTAGAGTTATAGAGTAATAAATGTGGATAGTGTCCACATGTGGACACAGATGATGCCCCCGCTTGCATATCATATAGTTATAAAGGGACATAACTGAAGAGCGGTAAAAGTGATGCTACCCAAATTTAAACTTGATCTGAGTTTTGTGGTAATAAGCATTGTGTGTAAGTCTCATAACATTTGGTTGAGGCTAATTTAAGTAGAGAACAGAAACTAAAAATTCAGCAATTTTTCTATTTTTAAACAGGCATAACTCTAGAATGGTTGTGTATAAGTTTTATAACATTTGGTTGAGACAAA